AAAATAACAAGGTTGAAAGTAATGATAAAATAAATAAAAGCTGAAGGTCTTTCTTTGAGTTACCAAAGATGGGATAAACAGCTATCTTGGCTGAAAACTTAGGAGTATCTTTTTCAGAATATTAACCAAATCTTTAGGTTTATAACCATGTTGGGCCATGACCCAAGTTCGTTTATAGTTTCAAGTACTATGCTTTAATGTTGGGGTCAATTGGCCAACCCAAGATTTCTGAACCGAAACTCTGGGGGTCCTCGAGTCTGTTGCGGGCCACAAAGCAACAGAAAGTAGTCAAAGTTATAATTTCAATTTCGGCAACAACTGAAAAGTTTTTGCAGCTCGTTGGTGACTCTTGGCCCAAACATCTAGCAAATAATTAAATAAGAAAAAATTTGCCAAGGGAACGAGATGCTCAGCTACGAAATGCAACTCGCCGAGGAGCCAGGACTAAATGCTAAGCGGGTCTCAAGTGTATCGCGACAAACAAACCAAAGCCAACAACAAAATAAGGATAAAAATAATAATAACAGAAACTGCAACTGAAAGTAGCCAAAAGTCAACCATTGCATATGCACTTGTAGGGTTGTGAGATGCTCTGGGCCTGGTCGAAATCTTACCAATGGCAGGGACTGCAAAAGTTTTTCAATTAAATTTGTTTAGAATTTAACTTGGCAATTGGCTTGAGATCTGGGTCCTTCAACTGCCCCCATCCGCCAGGGCATAGTTGGAAAAGAATCCATTTCAATATTAGCTTGGAGTTCAAGGGTCTGTGCCGCCGTGGTCTACTTGAGGGCACAAAAATGACCAATTAATAATTAATGCATACGACATTTCCAAAGTCCTGTTGTTTGTCCGGCCAATCTGTTGGGTGTGTGGGCTCAATTAAATTTTGATACATCCAGAACATTAATTGAAATAGAACGTGAGCAGTTTACGAAAGTGTCCCGGATCAATTAGTGTTGATTGATGGCTGACCCCATGATTTTCACAATTCAAACTCCCATGCTAAAAGTTAAACCGTGTTTTTAGATACACAAATTAAGTCCTTGAGGAATAGGATACAGTTTCTATATGCTTAATGAAATCTTTATTTTTTTTAAATGATTGGATATCGCAATATGTTACAGGATGGCTTAAAACTTTTGAACAAGCTTGTCGAAACTAGTGCAACGAATATTGTTAAACCTTATGCTTACCCTTGTTGCTGTCCAGTCAACTGTCGCCTGGCATATCTTTGCAGCATTATCCTTTGGACACATCAGGGGCGTAAAATCCATTTTACATGCTTCATGAAACAAATTGTGCCACACACGGCATTAATAAATTACATGCAATAATTTTGATTGTGTGTCCGCACATCTGTGTGAGTGTTTCTGTACCGGGTTGTGCCATTAACAATTCCCATTGAATTTTCATTTAAAATCCCGATTTTATAAAGCACATTAATGCTGTTATTGGCATGGTTTTTTCCACTAATTAAGGAAAATTAAATTATAATTACTACAAATATTAAAACTAATTAATAAAAAAGACTTGAATGTGAAAAAATGGAGGAGAAAGTATTACCTAATACCATCTAAAGCAGCCAGATAATTTTTTTAGTATCCAAGACTTGGAAGAAAAAAGGAAAATAAACGTTATGCTAATTTTACTTTTCTTGAACGCGGCATAACCCAATTTTTCTCTCTGGTTGTCAGACTTTTTTCTTGTTCCCAGTCAGATAAATGGCGCCAGGACAAGAAAAGTGTCTTGAGGTGAGAGAGGGTCCTGCGATGACAATATTCAACATTGAAGGCCACTGACTGAATAACTTGAAATTTAAAGATACATTTTTATTAAATCTAAAAATATATAAGTATCTAAAGCAGTTTTTATTGCATCTTTTTAAATATTTAAATTTAAACAACAATTAAAAAATCCTTTGTATATATTTACCAAAAAAAAAAACAATTGTTTGCACAGTTGATTTGGCCCGGCAAGTGGAATACAATATGAATATCTAATTAAGGAGCTACATGAAGGATGGAAAAAGGATGGAATGGTCAGGAACAAGCAAACAAATGTGGCTAATTAACATTTCTGCCGCCTTTTGACGCGTCATCAGTTGGCCAAATTCGGAGTAAAACTCCCATTAAATGATTCAGCATCCAACTTGGCTAAAAGGCTGATGTGAGACGACTACTTCATCCAATTGGAGCCAAATACGATGAAGCTGGACTTCGTTTCACAAGCTATATTTTATCACATGCGCACCAAAGAACTGCAACATGAAGCTGCCACTTAAAGCTGGCAACATTATCATGGTTGTTTGAGTGAAAGTTTTATCAACATTTTGCGCGGATTGAGTGGGTTTTCAAGCTGCAGAAAATCCCTTCAAACTCGCGTGCGACTTTCTCCAGCTAATGTGTTGAAAAACGTCAAAAATTTCCCCTTTTGGTAAACAACCCCAAAATTGCACCACTGCGAACAACAATGTTGCCAGCTTCTTGAAACATTTCCCCTTTTGGTGAAATGACTTCGTTTTTTTGACTTCGTCCCGCGAAGTCAAGTGACCAAAATGGGATTTGGAATATTAATACTTACTGTTGCCCTGACAATATCCTTGGGGACATGCCAACCCCAAAGTGGGGTATGTGGATTTTACTATTAAAATGTAGTTAAAAATGTAGGTCTAGTAACGTCTTTTTGGACCAATCCCCAGTGATGGAAAATTTAAGGCCATTGGCTCCAAGTGCTACTACATTGAATACGATAATAAGCTGCTTTGGTTGGATGCTCTGCATCAATGCAGCCAGTTGGGCGGCCATCTAGCAAGTATCCAAAGTCAGGAGGAGCTTGATGAAATCAGCAAAGAACTAATGACCGACAAGGAATACCATATTGACATAAATAGTCAAATATATGAACGAAAAGGCTTTCTATCAGCAACGACAGGCTTAGCGCCACGTTTTAAACACAAAAATCTGGACGATAGATGGAACAGGTTTAAGGTGTGTGCTGTTATCAATAATTTGGGTCAAATGGCCCATTCCTTGTGACGCATCAGTAGCTCATTATTTGTTTGTGAAGCCCGAGCCAGCCTCTCAAGAACAAAAGCAGAAGATAGTACAAAATTTTAAAAAAATCTGCGATAAGTACTATTACATCGAAAACGAAGTGGAGAGGGAATGGATTGACGCCCTCCATAAATGCCAAGAATTGGGTGGTCATTTGGCTATTCCCAAAAACAACATGGAATTCATCAATATTTCAAAGGAACTTGAACCGGGCTCCCAATACTTTATCGACCTTATTGATAGGCCAGAGGAATATCAATTTCCGCCTGTAGATTTGGGCGAAAATGAAATTTGGAGAAACTGGAGTGGAGGTTTTGTTTTCATTGACAAAACTTATTATAAAACTTTCTTGGATCATTCTGACACATATGAAAAAAAAATATTTTATTTGTGAGGCATCCATTTAGACTAATTAAGTTTTGTAAATTTCAATTAATAAAGATTTCTTAAATTGCAAATGAACCAATACCAAAAAACAATTTTTTTGTAATTTTCCAAGCAATTGTTGGTTTTTATCTGAACATGAAATTACCATGAGGAAATAAATTGAAGAAATGTTGAAACTATAGAAAGAATGGGATTTGAATGTTTTGAAAGAGAAAGCGTTGACAAAGTCATATTTTTATCGCTCAATCGACCACCAACATTGCCGCCTTCCATTGGCATCTTGACCAAAAAGTTAAGCGCATTAAAAAATCAAAATAAAACACTCTTACGCTGCCAACAAAGCGTCTTAGTCTGTTAAGAGCTTCTTCTTCTTCTTCTTAAGATTCTTCTTCTTCGATAAGACCACGCCATGTTGCAGCAACATCTTCTTCTTGCCAACAAAATGGAGGGGAAATTAGCCAACATATTAATCTCACCACACTATTTCACTATGAATTTCACTATGTTCACCACGCTATGTTGCAGCAAAATTTTTTGACGTTTTTCAACACACGAGGTGCAGAAAGTAGCGCGCGTTTTTTAGCAGCGACTTTTTTTTTGGTTCGAATTTAAACGCGGGAAAAAACGCGCGGGACTCCAACAGGTTAAAAAAAATACTGTGTAAAAATACAGTATTTTACTGTAAAATAAATAAAGTAAAAATATTGAATTGGAGACTTCTCACTTTTCCGGTTCTCAATTTTTTTAAGTAAAATCTAAAAAAAAAATAGACACTTAAAAAAAAATATATAAAAATTTACCTTAAAAACAATATAAATTTTATGAAATAAACTGTTTTGTTTACAAACAAAGTTTGGGCCGAAAAAAATTTAAAACTTTAAACCGCGATTATCTCAGAATCTTGTTTTTGCGAAATTACTAAATTTTGACCGTGAACGAAGATTTTTTTTTTATATATTTATATTTTTTTATTTTGATACAAGATTTTCTTTATAATAATTATTGTGAATAGCTTTCAATCAAGATATCTGCCAATTAATTAGGCTAAAGGCTACCAACTCCCCAAATGATTTGAGATTTCTCGGATTGTGGTCAGAGGCATTGATTGTAACAACAAAGCACCTTTGCCCAAAGAAGCATCATAATTAACTTGGTTATGGTCAGCTCCCGGTAGTCATCACGTATCTTCACTGGGAGATGGAAAGGACATGGGGAGATGCAGCCCAAAAACCAATTCCTCTTTTGCATTCCCGAGTGCAAACACAGGGTTTGCTATCGTATTTAAACAATAGCCGTCCCTGACAGGAGCAGTATCCTTAACTTCTCCATACGCCACCCACGGGCTGTGAATGTTTTCAAGAGCAATATATGTGTATAACCACAAGCTAAGACATGGACATTTTGGGGAGTAATGTAATCAGATGGAGAACGGTGGCAGGCGAAAGGACCTCCAGCTAGTCAGGCATTTAAATGGTCTTTCTGCTGTTGCACTAATTAAAGAAGAAGTACTTAAGTAATTTTTTTAAATGTATAATTATTCAATAATCTAGTGTTCTTTCAGAATATTTTCTATCAAATGAACTTACACATACATATATTTCTTGTGGCAATGAATCCCATATGCAATGTCGATATCACCAAACCAGAGTGCCAAAAATGGATGGTTGAAGTTTACACCAGGTGTAAAGACCTTTTTAGGCGGGAAGTGCCAGTGAGGATGTCCTATTGGTGGTTCGATATAACGCCCGCCATTTACAAGGAGAAACTAGAGTCCATGACAAGATCCGACTGCCATAAACTGAGACGGCGACTGGCCCGACAATTGGAGGACGAAGAGGGTATTGGTAAATTCTTGATTGGAATTCTTGCCCTTATACTGGCTAGTCTCCTGATCGTTGTCACACTGGTTCTCCTGTGCCGCATGACATTGAGACAGATCCGGTTAAAATACAGGATCGATACTCCGATTTCAGAGGATATTCCCGAGGAACCTCCTCCTGAGATACTTCCCATGCCTATGAAAAGGAGGAAAAACTTCAAGAGCTGGTTGCGAGGACACTGTCGGCCCCTTTTTGTGCACAGTGAAGCCGAGATGAGAAACCAAAGGGATAAGGCCCACAGAGTAAAGGCTGTCCACAAAGAACTGACCAAGGAAAAGCTTGTATTGTGGAGTCAGGCCCGGGAAAGAGATGCTCTCAAGAAAAAGGAAAAGTTGGCGAAAAAGAAGGTCCATCGTCACAATCCTATATCCACTACAAGCTAAGCTTTATATATTTTTTAAATAAAACACTTTCTTTAAATTAGCAGTATGACTTTTTTTTAATAAGATCACAATTTATATTGCTGTCTTTTAAGTTTTGTTGTGCAACAATTCGCTAATGATAGAAGCAATTAGCTCTTCACAAAATACTTAAATTATTAAAATTTCCTAAACTGATGGTAAACTACGTAACAAACATTATTGATTAACAAATTATAAAAATATGTAAATTGTTCTTTTCCACTATAATTGTGCGTTCTATGTAAAAATTATATATAATTCATCTTATTCCAAAATCGTGTTGATATATACACATGTTTTTAAGGCGAATTTGTCAAGTCACGGTATTGATTGCATGTAGCCCCTATTTAATATTTAAGACTCTGTATATATATAAATATATGTAAATAAATTTGTTTCCATCGTTTGTAGCTATTGTAAAGCGGCGCTATTGAAAATTCTTGGTACAAAAATCAGTTGCCATTTAAGCTAATATCTCAAGTAGTTTGGTTTGCTTTGTGTAAAGTTTTAAAAAGTTATCCGACAAGCTTGTGCTGGACTCAGTTTGTTCACTTTCTTAATTAGGTATACGTAAGGCTCACTCGTAGTACGATTAATCTGGGACGAGATCAATGAATGTAATATATACGCGCTTGATATTGCAAGAGGTTGTATCTATTTCAAGGATCACACTCCAACCATCAACAAACATCCTTCTTTTGTATGGTATTCTTCGCTCATGCTCACCTAAGTTAACTTTACAAGTATGTGATCAGCTCTCGCTTAAAGCTACTTCAATGTGCAAAACATTCCAATAAAATAATAACAGTTGAAGTTGACTTCCACTAGGGTAAGGCTGCTTGGTCCAAGGTTTCTATTTACAGTCGTTGGGCAGCGATCCTATGTGAGTTTCTTTGCCCATTTCATGTCATCGTCGCGCGGCTTCAGGCCCGTAAAATGTTCAATGAGAAGCTCGAATGTTGACCAGAATCTGGTTAAATTAAAAAATATATTAGTTTAGAATCCACCTCCACAGTTAAAGCCAACCTTAAGCGTTCCAGAGGCCAGTTCAGCCACCCGGTGGTAATGCAAAAGTACGTCTCATGCGGCGCCACATGATGGATGCGGTGATGTTTTCGGGGCAGGATAATGTGACAGCTTTGGAGTAACAGCACCCACCTCGGCAGACCCCAGTACGTGTGCGACCACTTGTGGATCTACAAAAGAACTTCAGGATAGTTTCCTAGGAAGACAAAGAGGATTTGAATCAAACCTGGTTGGTCATGGCCACGAATATGGAGCATAGAAACACGTAGGCTATCCAGCCAAAATGCTGTTGAATCTCACTCGGCGACCTAATGTAGAAGTAGTGGGCCAAATAGCCCAGGATCGGTATGCCAACCATGAAGTTGTCTCCATTCGTTTCAATAAAATCATGCCGTGTTATCGACGTTGGATCCAAGTGATGCTCTCGAAATGGACGGAGAAAGTTCTAAAATAAACTTTTTTGAAACAGTATTGATGAAAGGACTGAAACCTACCTTGCCGATCAGTGGCAAGTCCACAGATCCCCACGTATCTGCCGCCCAGTGCACCAATCCTGATGCAAAGTCTGCGGTAATGATGCCACATAGAGCAGGTACGAATGCCACACTTATCCTATCCAGTCGCATGTGCCGGACTATCAGAGCTAGGTTGATTATCATAAGGCAGATACAGGTGTAGACGCAAATGATCTCCTGGGCACGTTTTCCTGAAAATAACGATCATGAGAGACTATTTTGGTTCTTGTACGACAGTCTAGAACATACCTGGACTGTATAAAGAAGCCAGCTCCTGGGCACCTTTATTCTGGGGTCCCCAGCGTGGGGATGTGACAGTAACAGTCACCGTTGTCGACTTCGTGGGATGGTTGATCTCTTTGGAACTCTGATCTTCCGTGGCGGCGGGGGCTGAGTTACCATTGGGGTCATCCTCGAACATAGAGTTGGCCAGAATCTCCTTATCACTCTTTCCCGTCATCGTCTGTGGAAAAAACAGAAAACCGAGTGTCACAAAGAGAAATGAAGAACCTGAAACCTTGACGACTGTCCGTCCCTGACTGATGGACAACGCAGTGCCTAGATTCAATGTCAGGACACCGGTTTGATGGGCTGAGAAGACTGCCACCTGGACCCTTTGGAGACACCCTACATAATTAAGGAACTAAATGTGGGGGAAGGTGCAGCTGGCAGGACAGGTGTCGCTGGTTGCACATTTATTAAAATTATATTTAAATGTTCTGTAACTTTTTTAAAATGACCACAGCCGAAGGACGAACAACCACCACTGGCTTGGAGCACCAAACCAATGACCTCTGCTCTGGGATCCCCGGCACGTTGTGGCGTTGATGTCATTGCAGTTGGCGGCAAAAACAACAGTGCCACACCGCCCACCCAAACCCTCTCAGCCCAGCGACGTGTCACGCAATATTTTGGACTTACGGAGGACTATATGGAGTCCGCAGGGAACACGGCTCACCTCGCCTGGAACTAACGCCACCGAATGAGTTGTCAGTGGCGGAGGCGCGGTCTAGAGGTGCCTTAATTAGGCAAATTGGTATTTAAATTGTTGTGAACGCTATCTCCATTTTGGGGTAGGTTGGAAACGACGGGCGAAAGGATTATATTTTTAGCAGGTTATTTGTTTCTTTGTTATTCGGTTCTTTATATTCGATGGGGTATTACTTTGTGATAAATGAGCTTTAACACGAACTGTGGGCGGGAGATTGTGTCACAAAATAACTATCATTCAAGCCCCCCAAAAAAATAATGTTACAAAGTGTAAACAATCCCAAAATCTACGTCGTGCCACTCAACCAGATCTTGATAGGGAACTAGCCCAGGAAAATCTTAAAACTGCTTCAATAGTTTAACGAATCCAATGTTTAGCTAAGAGACATAATTACCTTAATTTCAATCGATATTCAATCAATAGGGAACTTTCAAAAGGACTTGTAATTATCATCTACATTGGTATCATTTGGAAAATGGCCCAAAGAAATGCTTCAACATTACATTTCATTAATTTGTCCATTTAGAATAGGAAATATTAGGCAAATTAACTCGCCCAGTGGCGAGGACATTAATCAAAACTGGTAACAACGTATTGATAAAGCACCACCGACGGGTTCACGGCAAGAATTTCGACTGCCAGTCTATGCGGGCACGCGTGGGCGCATTCACTAATGTTTCCGAAACCCAGGACGGCGAAGGACACGACATCGGAACCCGTAATCTGGCGGTTGGGCTTATAACGCCCTCGCAGGCAAACGCAAACATTTCCGTGTGACGTGCCCAGGGGCAGGGTAAACAAGCCCCAAGGAAGGACCCGCGGCCCACCAGTCGGGCGCTGATTCAAATTTCTAAAATAAATGCGCGCTAGTGGAGTTGTGAGGGAGTTTGGGAGTCGAGAAACCTAAATTAATGTGAAAACGTGGACAACTAAATTCTTTGGCGAAGACTTAAGCGACGCACCCAGTGGTCTGATATCCTGTAATCCTGACAACAAAATGGCGTAGCTCTGAACCACAAAAGTAGGCAACAGTAAAAAAAAAAGTATCGGATATTTCTACGATAAAAAAATGATAATTATTTTAACAGTTAGTTCGATATTTACTTTTTTATTAAGCCATTTTTGCTTTTGGCGGTACTGAGTACCAAAGCTTTCGAGTCAACGCACCTGACTCATTATTTGTTTGCCAGCAAAAGGCATAAACGGGCTGCACAGCCAACAGGTATTAATTTGGCACTACGTTACGACGAATTTCGTTGTGGCGCCAAAGGAAAATAACAATTTATTACACGAAGTGCGCGAATAGACACTCCAAAGGCAAAGTTTTTCCACGGAAATCCAAGAGAGTGTAGAAAGTATGCGAGCGTGGGGCACCCCTACCTTGAAATTACTATATGTTTTTTTTTTTTGTTTCGTTGACAGAACCGACGCTACGCTCATCGTATTTAGTATTTGTAGTTGGCATAGCGGTATTTATAGCCCTGTTTATTGTTGAGGGTCTTTTTTTCAATTGATAAGAGATTTCAGTGCGACTTGCATGCGGCTCTATTTATAAAAACAAGCGAAACAGAGCTCTCGCTCACCGCCGATTGACTCACCTTTTCGCAGGTGCTGTTCGGCGTTTTGTGGTTGGTTTTGTGTGTGTGGTCTGCCCCCCACAATTGGTGGCTATTGTTTAGGCCTAGTTTTTGGTGGCGCGGCTTGGCAACAATTAAAATTAAATGACCGTCTGCCAAATATTGATTAGAAACAAAAACTTATGCATGCACGCAAGGGGAGCTTTTTTTCTGCTACAACGAATGAATTACAACGAACCAGGGCGTCGGCAACTCCACACGCGCTTCCGCTGCAGTAACTACCGCTCCTTTGCACCAGTAAATTCCGAAACAAACTAAACCGAAACTATAAGGAACGAAACGATACGATTCATTCATGCCCAGTTCTTCGCGTGTGTGCGCCTCTTGTGGGTGTCCCCGTTTGTTTCACTCACGCTTCGATTTCAATCCAGCGCTTCCTGCGCTCTAGGGTCCAGTTCGTCTACTTCTTTGTACAACAAATTGTTAGATTTTGACACTAAAACAAAGGCTGGTCTATTTTCGTCCTTTTCAAATGCAACCGCCAACGTAATATATCGATAACTTTTTAAGAATAGTAAAAAAAATGGATTCTGTAAGTAAAAATTCTGTACAAAATAAATTTTTTTAATAAATTTGATTGAAATGTTGTTTAAATTATTTAAATTTGCTTGTTTTTAAACATATTTTTTTAAATACTGAACTAAAAAACCATTCAATGAAGTTGGCAGCTCGGGCTGCCTGAACAGCTGTTTCACCGGCACGCATATGGTTGTTACGTCGACGTTTGCTTGCGATTGAAAACAAATTTGATTTTATTCTATTAAAATGCTACCAATTTCTCGCGGTATATATTCTGGCCTGGCCAATATAACACGTAGCAGCCGCGGAGCCCTTCACACGGCCAGTGCCCTTCGATGCAAAGCGGCAGAAACAATTGAAGAAAAGGATGCAGAGAATGTTGAAGGCGAAGGCGGCGCCGAGGAGAGCCAAAGCAGCTCCTCAGGCCCGGATCCCAAGGATCGCAGCAAGGTTATACCCGTAGAAACATCAATGCGCTACCTAAAAAGCGCCGCATACAAACAAACCTACGGAGACGACTTTGTGTGGACGCAATATCGGTATACTGCTTCTCATTCAGAAAAAAGTAATTTTTCTTAAAACTATTTAATTTTCTTATTAGCCGCAACCACAAAGGAATGTATGCACCTCGCAAAACACGAAAAACTTGCATCCGCCAGGGAAGGATCTCCACCGGCAACCCCTGCCCGATCTGCCGTGATGAGTATCTTGTGTTGGATTACCGCAATACGGAGCTATTGGAACAGTTCATATCTCCCCACAACGGCGATGTGCTAAGCTACTCGAAGACAGGCCTGTGCCAGAAAAGCCACCTCCGCCTCATGGTCGCAGTGCAGCAAGCCCGTGACTCTGGCTTCCTTACCTATGATGTGCCCTTCAGGGAGTACGACTACAGCGAATACTACGGCCAGGATCAGAAACAATAGAATACCAACTAGGAGCATTTCCAATTTACTTTGATTTTTATTGTTTATTAAAGAATATAAAATATGTAAAACTGCGATAATGATAAAATTAGTTGGGGAATTCTGCGTAGAAGATAAAATATCAAAATACTTAATTACAAACACAAATCGGAAGCTTTTTAGTTCAAAGTATTCATACTATTTAGGGTCTACTGTAGTCAGCTGTTTTGGAAGCTCAGCTGATTGTCAAAACATTTCATACCTTTGCGTAAACAAGCCATTTAATGATTAATTCTGTTAGTTTTCATTTCGTTAAATAATGTCACGCAAGTGTGATTTTCTGGTCGTGGGAGGCGGCATCGCAGGTGTGAGTTGCGCTGAGACCCTGGCCATCTGCCGGCAGAATGCCTCCATTCTTCTGCTCACGGAATCCAGCATCGTAAAGAGCGTCACAAATCTGGTGCCGATCGCACGGTATCTGCACAAGTTTGACGTTCGAGAGAAAGATCTATCGGAAATGGGAGTCACTATAGATACGCTGGTGGACCAACTGGACCACATCGACAGCAGCGAACACTGGATTCGCACCAAAGGTGGTCTGGTCATTCACTATCAGTATCTGTGTCTGTGCACTGGTGGATCCCCGAAACTATTCAACTTGAGCCACGAAAAGTCACGTATAATTGGAATCAGGGACACGGATTCCGTTCTGGAATTGCAGCGACGACTGGTGGAGGCCAAGAATGTCCTTATTTTGGGAAACGGAGGCATAGCCAGTGAACTGGCCTACGAACTGAAGGACGTAAATGTACACTGGGTGGTAAAAGACAGCCACATTTCAGCTACCTTTGTAGATCCCGGAGCGGCAGAATTCTTTCAGTTGGCCAGGAGTGAGGTGCCGGAGAATGATGCTGTTCCAAAAACAGCCATTAAGCGAATGCGTTACGGAGAAATTATGCCGACGGAACAGCAAGAAAATAATAAAGGCGCAGCTCTGGGTCCCGATTGGCATCGGACTTTCGACTTGAGTGGAGCTGCGAAGAGCGGAGATAAAATTTTGCCAAAAATCTATTACAAGTCTCACATACAAAACTACCAGGACCTTCCCGACGGTAGACTTGCCATTAAATTGGGCCATGACGATGGCTCTTCCGAAGAGGTAATCTGTGATTTCATTGTTTCTGCCACTGGAGTCCAACCCCGCCACGAATATTCGTCTGACTCGCCAATTACGTTGGCAAGCGACGGAGGCCTTGCTGTTGATGAAATGATGCGAACCAATCTGCCAGACGTCTATGCGGCGGGCGACGTGTGCACTGCGTCTTGGTCACCTGCACCGCACTGGTTCCAAATGCGTCTTTGGACGCAGGCTCGCCAAATGGGGTCCATGGCTGGACGGAGCATGGCGGCCACGAGCGAGGGAGAAACAGTCTACCAGGATTTTTGCTTCGAGCTTTTCGGTCACGTCACGCAGCTATTTGGGTTTCCAGTGGTACTTCTAGGACGTTTTAACGGCCAAGATCTGGGCCGTGATTACGAAATACTAGTGCGCTGTACTCGCCACAAGGAATACATCAAGTTTGTACTCCAAAACGGGAAATTGAGGGGGGCTATATTGATTGGAGACACCGACTTGGCCGAGACCTGCGAGAATCTAATCCTGAACGGCATAAACCTGGAGCCATATGGCGATGATATACTCAATCCCGACATTGACATTGAAGACTATTTTGATTAATTTGTTATGCTTAATTTTAAACACATACTAGACACATACAAATTGAACTTAATCCTATGGTTGGGTTGGTGGTTGATTCGATTGCGATTTTTTGGTCCGCTGTCATTTGAGCTTTCCCTCGTTGCCTGAAGGTTATACATTGGATTAAAGTATTCTTTATTTGCTAACATCCCTGTAAGTTAATAAATGGTAATGCTCACCGACATATTTGATCTCGTCGAAGGCCTTTCGCGCCTTTTTTAGTTCTTCGTTCATCGTTAGCAAGTCCTTGACTCGAGCATACTTGCGTTGATCCTTACGCACCAGGAATATAATGTCCTCTACCTGCACACGACCAGTTCGACCGATCTCCATAGCCCTGTGAGTGGTTTCAGCAATATATTCAATGACCAAATCTTCCAGTAGATCAACAGTTTCCGTGTAGGGGTTCTTATCGTCCCCGAACCCAAACATCATGCAACGCAGTTCCTGATAATGAAACAGAATTAAATAAAAGCTACTTTTAAGATGTGAGCACTTCAAACTTTGCTGAACAATCGCTTTCGTCCGGCATTTGTGGCCACCAGTTGGTCATCATCCGCATCATCGTCAAAATTGAACTGGAAAATAACGGCCAATGTTTTTTCTCAGCAATGGACTAATGTACGACATTTTTCTTACATCACCGCCCTCAAAATTTTCCTCGGGCAAATTGCTTGATGCCATTTTACTTAAAAATTTGTAGATAAATGTTTATTAATATTTTTTCGACCAAAACAAGCATACATACATATAAGCAGCTGTTGACAGGGCTGCCAACGTATCATTACATTTTTCATCGCTAAACTATCGCACGCTTGCATTTCTGCCCTATCGTTAATCGTTATCGAAGCCACGCTCTTTCAAATAATTTTAAACGTTCCCATTTCTGGCCGCGAAAAGTGAAAATGGAAGTGTTTACCTTTGAGAAATCTTTCCTGGAGCGTCTTAAGGAAGCGGAGGCTGTGCTTTCGTGGGAGGGCGCTGTGATGCCGGCCTCCCAGGTGCGATCCGAGTGGAAGTCCTACGTGGAGTTAAAGATCGAGCCTGCAGGTAAGCCCACCAACACATGCTAACAAATGGCCAAACAAAGACTGACTCACAAATACGCGCAGGCTGGCAGGCTATTTGGAAGATACCGCGCGTGATCTGCGAGGATCTGAAGCTGCGCTATCCCACAATTGTCTATGGGTATGTAGACCAGGTGATATTTGACGAGCTAAAGGCTGTGTTCGTGGTCACAGCCGTGCAGGACAATGATGTTCACCTGCCAGAGACCAACGAGGTGTCCCTGGTAGAGCTGTGGCCAACAGTTGAACAAGAGAACTCCGCCTTGAACGTGGACACTACGGCGGAGTGCATCGACTGCTTGAGATTCTTTTATTCGCACGTGTGGATGCCCTGGGACAAGGACTATGACGATGACCGGGACTGGGTTCAAATGCATCTGCAAGCCCGTATTCAGCTGGCCTGCGACCTAAGCAAAAACAAACTGTCTCGGCCGTTGGCTTTGCACATGCGCAACCTGCTGGAAGAAGCCAGGTACATACAACAACGCCTTGAATACTTGGAACTAGACCTAAGTGACGTTGAGGCAGAGAGCGACGACGAAGCGGTGGAGTTGAACGACAATGCTCCCGAGCCGGCTAGGAAGCAGTCAAAAACAGGAAACGCCAATGCCAGTTTGAACGCCTCCATCTTGCCGGTAACAGATCTCATGTGCCTTCACCTGCGTATGGCTATAATAAGGAGTGAGTTCGAAATCCTCGAAAACCCCGAAATGAGACGGGCATATAGCGAGATGCAATCAAATACATTAAAGCGCCATATGCTGCAACGCGGCTCAGGAAAGTTGCGAAACTTAGAAGACTCATTGATAGAACGTTCGCCGATTTGTCACGTAGTAACAGTTCCAGCAATGTTGCAGCAGCAAATTGACTTGCTTCTTTTGGCCAAGGAGCAGGTTAAATCGGACAGACACGTCCAACTAGCCAACACACTCCAGGATGTACTCAGCATTTGTCAGAGCAATGACGACATATTTCTATCCCCCGGCAAACATACTATTAAGTTCCTGGAGCACCTTAACGACAACGGCAGCCTCAATGGCCTAATTCGACCGGATGATGTTCTAGCACCCACAATTGAGTTGTCCCAACTGCCTGTGGTATGCTCCAGCGATGAGGATAGCACCCTACTGGTCATAAGTGGTGATTATACTCTGTCCCAGCTGGTTTTGGACTGCCGGCACGTCCGTCGGGGAATACTTTTACGCAATGGAACTCTAACCATGCGTGGATGTCGTCTGATGGGGGATGGTAATTCCAGCACGCAGGAGGGCATCGTATGCATGCCAGGAGCAAGTGTGGAACTGAAGAGCTGCATCGTCGAGAACTTTGCAGTGGGAATTTCGCTTCGCCCTCGATCCAGCGCTGAGTTGGGCAATGTCCAAGTAAAAAGCTGCATAACAGGATTGGAGCTTCTCGAAAAGACAGCTTCGTTGAATATGCAGGGCAGCAAGTGCGCTTTCGATAACTGTAAACTAGGAATCATGGCAGACGGCTTACCACTCGGCGGCGGAAAAACTGACAAGTCGCTAATTCTAAAGCAGTTTAGTGAACTCCAGAGGTAAGAAAATAAATAAAACTATTCGATGTAGTATTTTAATTATATATTTTCGTAGCTACAACGAAGACAATCTTTTGGGAAATTGCAAATTTAACAATTGCTCGACAAACATCAGAGTATTTAATGAATCGGAACAGCTGCTGGCTCAGCGTTCGCATAAACAACTTTTCGAGGAGGATCTCGGAAGCGAAAATAAGGAGAATATTCAGGCGGTGTAATACAACCATTTAAATCTGTAATCATTACAATAAGAGTCTACTTGATAAATAAATAAAATTAGGCCGAACGCAACATATGAACGTATTTTCCAAGTTGAACAAATAGCTTTCCTATATTTGAAACTGCCTCGCTAATTCAAATTTTGTAGCTGACCAACTGTTCTCCCGAGCGTCCGTTTTCCAACACTGGTATTATCGCCCTGGTTCGATAACCCACGGTGCATTCTTGGATGTTCCAAATTTGTAGAATTCTGTGCGCATCCGGTGTAAACTTTAAAATAATAGATACAAATAATAGATAATTTATAAGTTGCATCATTGTTCATACGTTACAGCAGTTTTAAACCTCATTGGCACATTTAACTTTGGAACGTTATTGGTGACATTTGATGTACATTGAATTTCATCATAATTGAAACAGCATCGTGTTGAAGCTATTGCGCATTTTCCACATTTGAATTTTCCGCTTACACAGGTAACTTTAACATAAACACTAATCTACATCCTCAATTAAATACACTGTATCTACTCCTTTATATTCTTTAGTCTCAGGTCTTTGCACAATGACGTGTATCGTGGACCTCACCAATGAATGTTTGCTGTAAGTAAAGTAATATTTAACTCTTACTAAATGTATTTTTAACTTTTCAAAAAGTCAAATTGTAGGATACCTCGATATTCATGACCAATTGAATCTAAGGCAGGCTACTGACAGCGCAACCCGTCTATCATCTGCGGTTGCATGTTCGTGGAAACTCCAGGAAAAATACTGTTTTTACAAATTCGATTTTGATAAACGACCCGATCTACTTGAAGACTTTTTGCAATGCATTTGTTCATCGGTTGCCGGACTGGTACTGAATGAACTGCCCAAGGAACAGCTCAATATATTGGGCAATTACATATTTCCCAATATGCGGGAATTGGAATTTAGGGGCGTTTTGCTGAAACAGGGGGATGTTGACCCGGTCTGCGAGATTTTGGTCAGATCCTTTCCGCTGTTGGAATCTGTTTTGCTGGACGGATTTAACTTTGGCAAGCATATTAGCACTAACCATACAGCATATAGACAACCCATTTCATACAACGAAAATGGACGCGAAAATTTCTTCCGACAGGCCCCAGCAGGCCCCAGAGCGGATTTCTTACGCTCTCTTACGCTCATCGTTCGTTCATCTTACGCTCATTCTCTCATTAAATTTTTTCTGTTTCTCAGTCTCTAAACGGAGCGCGATGAAGAAGGTTGGCCTGCGCTTCGATCAACCGAATGTATGTATGCGTGTCACACATTCACTTACATGGGTGTATGTGTGCGTGCGATTTCGTTTCGAAGCCAGCGCACAAAATTTTGATTTTTCTTACTTTTCAGGCTTGCTACCCTAACCAAATTCGGGTATTCGTTATTTGATGAAATGACGAAAGAAATTATATTATTTTTTATATTATATTTTTTATTATTTCAGCATACATTTTTAATTTATTTAGGAATAAGATTAAGTGTTAGTAGTAAAATGTTTTCTGTATATATATTTTTACGAATCATTAAAAATCAATATACTGAGAAAGTGTCAGAGTATATTTCAGTCGGAGTCACTTAAAACGCCGATTGCTTTTAAGTTTTTGTTGTTCTGCAAGAGGCTTGTGCATGCCTACTCTAACGATGGAATGATTTTTAGGGGAGGGTGAAGACACGAAAACAGCTGATGGACTTGTTTACCTTTTTTGTTTACAATTTTTCAGGCACTTGTTATTATTTTGGGTTATTGTGAGATTTTATTAAATTATTGTCGTTAATTTAATAATTTCCCTATATATTTTGGAACTTTAAAAAGTCGCCGCTCGAATTTGTTACAGATATATATACATATATATATATATACGTACTTATATATGTATATATATATATATATGTATTTATGTCGGTATCCAGGGAACACCACGAGGAGGCCATTGCGATTGCGATGGAGTCTTCAATGAAGACTTTCGAGTCGACTTTAGATACCAAAACTAATTGGCTATCTCCTTGTTCCCCACCTAACATAACCTACTCCTAAACTAATAATAAAATGAGACATATACAAAACCAAAAATTATTGTTTGAGTATTTTTAGTTTCCTTGAACCTGCTGCTGATGAAGCTTTTCCTTTGAAATAAATTTTTTCTGTTAGCCATTTGCTGTTTTTCCCCAATAATATTAAAACAAATCTGTCAAGCATTTTCATCCTGTGTTCATAACAGGTATGGGTAACCGAAAACCAATTACAATATATGCTGGATTTTTCAGTGGAGGTAATGCAAGATTAAATAATTGTTTTCTTTATTCTGTTTTTTACGTTTCTGACATTTTTTCAAATATTTTCTTAAAAACTGAATAATGTATTTCAATCAAAGAAAAATAGTAGTCGAAAGGAGCTTTAAGTTTTAAAGTTTTCAGCGCAGTCATAATTTTTATTCAGTATGACATTTTCCGAACTGGATTGTGTTTCCAATTTTTTTTTTTAAAAGATCACACACACTCCGCAATCTTTTTTTTTCCAAAATTTTAAACAATATGTAGCCTGCAAAATATCGCAAGGCATTGCTATCAAACTCGTCACCAGTTGCCATATCCAAAACTTGCTTAATTTCCGTCTCCTCATCTGAAAACGTCTCGAAATCGGTATTGTCTCCGTCGGTTTTAAACTCTTTGTTAAACTCAAGTTTTATTGAAGCTGCCGTCCTGGATAACATTAATTAACATTGTATCATCATCTGGGCGGCAATTACCAGATAATGATTAAGACGTTAATATTTTCATCGATAGCATTATGGACATTATTGTATTAAATTCTGACATCGATGGATTGTTATTTGTTACTCCGCGAGCCCTTTTTAAATAAAACAATTTTTCTAAGGGGTCTTGATTCAATTTCGCGGTTGGTACACAAAAGATTTCGAAGCTCCACACACTTTCAGATAGTGCAAGTACTGATGAAATTGTTAACATCATGCCGTCAATGCAGTGTACTACTTGTGGATATTTAAATTCTGCAAAATAATTCCTCATTTCTAAGAGGTAATTGTGAACGTTATTATTATTTTGCAGTGCACACCTGTACGGATTTTTTCATACAAAACATGGCTATTGAGGCAATCAAAGAGCTTATTAACCTTTTCAATAAAATTTGCCGTAGCTTCTGCGCTATTTCGGCATTCCACAAATCCGCCAGAATCAATCACTGTTCGGATTGCGGCCGAAACAGTGTGGCTAAATATTTGTGTTGCATATTTAACTTTCATTTTTTCAAATGAGTTTGGATTTATATGCTTCGCCGTTACTTTGGGACAAAGCCTCGTTGAGTTTCTAGACTCAATTTGGTATAACTTCCTTATTATATCCCAAGATACATCTCCATCCGGCGTGTTTAAATTATTTTTTATTAAAAGGTTTCTCAATGATTTTATAAGATGTGGGGCATCGAATATTGTAAATATTTCTTTACCGTTAACATTGAAACTCGGCTTGTTTATGCTAACGCCCCATTTCTTAAATGCAGCTCTATTATTTGAGCCTTGATCGCATATTATGGCACGTATGTACGTTTAACCCCAACGTTTGCGAAACTTCTATGTTCGCTTCAACTTTTTTCATGAGGCAATCATGCTTAATACCGTTAGCCGAAACAGTATAGCTTAAAACGTACTTCCAATTTTCAAATAAGCCTCTAGCCATGAAGACGCATACTTGCTGCCCTAAAAATCGAGTTCTTTTTTCACCATCATTTTCAAATCCCTGAATTTCATCGAGAGCGGTATTATATTGCAGTCCTTTTTTGATTTTTATTTCATCACAAAGGATCACTGCTTCTTTACCTTTCTCGCTCATTTCACCAACAATTTTCTGGAGGTTTTCTAGAAAATCAGGTTGAAATCCTGGCGTCATATTTTTAAAAAAGAGCCCATCGACACAACGTACTTTTGGCAGGAAGTTTTAACTTTAAAACATCCCTCATGTACTCATACGTTCGCGAAGAATAAAAATTTATATTCTGGGCTATCACTTTTTCTGCGCTGTTATATGAGTTCGATTTTTTTAGCAGCATTTTGCATAATGTTTTGGCCTCATCAGAAACATGAGGTAATTTATTTATAATATTAAATAAATTTAGGGTGCTTTTCTACTATTTCTCATACCCTTGCGTCTACTAGAATTTTTCTCATTTTTTGCATTTTTTCTTTGTATTTTTTTAGTTCAAGAGACATCTCATAATTCTTTTTTCTGTAAAATCTCTCATTTTCTTCCCTCTTCTGGCAATTTGAACAAAAATCTTCTAACTGAGGTGAACTTTCTAAATTGGGAGTTTCTAAATTGGAAGGGCTACCTACCCTATTCAAAAACTCTTTTCTTCCTATTGGGTTAATATAAGTGCCAATTGGTTCTTCCGCCCCATCATCACAAAATTCAAATTGTTCACATGGAACAGTACTGTTCGGACGCAATAGTGAATTGTCACATAAATTTAAAGTGGGTACGGCATTGCTTCTAAGCCTACTTTTCCCAATATATTTACTTTCAAAATGTCTGTTACAAATTCGCGCAGTTCGTCTGTTAAAAGTGTCATCCAATTGGCACAATTCAACCCATTTCTTAAGATTCCTATCATCCGATGGAAAAGAAAACAATCTAATTGGAATGGAGTGTGATGAATCCCTGTAACTCCCCTGGCAGGATGCAATAATGCACTTGCGTCCATTTTTCCTAACATTAGGCCGATTCATTTCAAAAATATTTAAACCGAATATTTAAATAAATTATTTAAGGTTTAAATAACTAGATTTATACTTGCAATTGATGATGATGTAGCCACGGACGCTCGGAAAGTTTACGTTTAGTAAAAATATTTCCGAAAAATACGTTAACACACCGATACTAATCACTTTGTTCACAAAAATCAGCACTTAATTTGGTCCTCACGAAAAACGCTCCTCACAGAACAAAAATAGAATGCCGATTAAACCATTTTCCTCTTTTTCATCAAATGGCAATATTTTAGGCGGGTAAATTAGGTTGGTGGGTAAGCCAAGTGGCAACCAAAAATTACAAGAATCAAAACAAACCAGAAAAAAAATAGTTTTGGCGCGCAAGTTAACACTTTCATTGCCAAGAACTCCAAAGGCATGCCACAGGGAAATGACGGTGTGTAAATACGGTAGTGACATTTTTATATTCATGTATATATTTTAAATTACACAGCAGATCATACAATAAGATATGCACTATAGATCATAAAACCATATAAGAATCCATAAGCATAAAAACCAATGTAAATATATATATATATTTATAATATTTATAAATTCGAGCGGCGACTTTTTAAAGTTCCAAAATATATAGGGAAATTATTAAATTAACGACAATAATTTAATAAAATCTCACAATAACCCAAAATAATAACAAGTGCCTGAAAAATTGTAAACAAAAAAGGTAAACAAGTCCATCAGCTGTTTTCGTGTCTTCACCCTCCCTAAAAATCATTCCATCGTTAGAGTAGGCATGCACAAGCCTCTTGCAGAACAACAAAAACTTAAAAGCAATCGGCGTTTTAAGTGACTCCGACTGAAATATACTCTGACACTTTCTCAGTATATTGATTTTTAATGATTCGTAAAAATATATATACAGAAAACATTTTACTACTAACACTTAATCTTATTCCTAAATAAATTAAAAATGTATGCTGAAATAATAAAAAATATAATATAAAAAATAATATAATTTCTTTCGTCATTTCATCAAATAACGAATACCCGAATTTGGTTAGGGTAGCAAGCCTGAAAAGTAAGAAAAATCAAAATTTTGTGCGCTGGCTTCGAAACGAAATCGCACGCACACATACACCCATGTAAGTGAATGTGTGACACGCATACATACATTCGGTTGATCGAAGCGCAGGCCAACCTTCTTCATCGCGCTCCGTTTAGAGACTGAGAAACAGAAAAAATTTAATGAGAGAATGAGCGTAAGATGAACGAACGATGAGCGTAAGAGAGCGTAAGAAATCCGCTCTGGGGCCTGCTGGGGCCTGTCGCAAGAAATTTTCGCGTCCATTTTCGTTGTATGAAATGGGTTGTCTATATGCTGTATGGTTAGTGATATTAGTCAGTGGGAAAACCTCCGGAAATTAAACTTGTTGGGAAACGAAGGATTGGAATTGCAATTCTTAGAAGAAATCTGTAAAAAAAATCGTCTGCAATCTCTTAAATTGTCAATTTGCAATACTCGGGGTAATAATGATGCCTACGTCCAACACATCTTGACTTTACAGGATCTGGAGGAATTAGAAATATCCTTAGAGACCCTAAGCCAAGAAAAGATAGCCCAACTGTTAATTTTACCAAAATTGCGAAGATTGTGTATCCGTATGGATGATGAGGATAATCTTTTGCCGGTAATTCAAAGAGTTCGTGGTGATGATGTTCTGGCAATCAGACTCTACGATAACGATTGGAGAAGCAGCTTGGAGGCACTTGTCCTGCTTCGCAATCTCCGCTCGCTAACTTTAAATGATGAGAATTTATTTGAGCATTACTTTGAACCAAGAGACTTAAATAACGTTTGGCCAGATATCGACGGAATGTGGAGAGTAGTCGCGGCGTGTCACCAGCTAGCCGAAATAAAATTGTCAGAGTTAGCCCTCCAGGAGGAACTCTGGGCTTTCAATATGGATACAATAAAACGCATTTTAGATGCACGACAGACTCCACTGGTCGTGCATATGGACGAAACCGGGTTTTTTGGAAAGACCGACTATATATCCTTATCGGAAAAGGTGACAATTTTGAAAACGTATACATACTTCAATTACATATTTAATTTTAATTTCTTTCTAGATCGAACACCCAAAGTTAAAGCTACATTTTCATCCTTGGAATAATAAATCACTCGAATCTGCAGAAGGTTATATTGTGGAACTGGTGCCCCTAGCCTCAAAAAATTCATCTGTTTAATCAATAAATGAGTTTATTCAAATTGTTTGAGAGGTGAAACTTTTTACTCCTATAAAATAATAATTATCATGAAATAATAATAATAATAATGCGTTTGCGTACACAACTGTTCGAGAAGTGGCTGCGAGGGAAAAATAAGGAAATTCTGGCGGTATAATACAAAAAAGGTTAAACCGTATGAAACTCCTAAACATACGTTTCCCATCAAATCTAGCTTTAGACAATTTGAAAAGATGACTCCCGACTGCCGACAGCTTAACTTAAGCTTTAATCTTTCATATACATATGTATTTATGTAAGGTTATCAATGAGCAAGAACTCTCTATGAGAGATTTGGAGAAGACTTCGATCTTGTGAGCTACCGTTTTCCAACCCTGGTGTTATCGATCTGGTTCGATAGACCACGGTGCAGTCTTGGATGTTCAAAATTAGTAGAATTCTTCGCAACTCCGGTGTAAACTTTAAAAATACAGATATAAATAATAGAAGTCATAAGTTTCATTATTAACCTTAAGTTACAGCCGTTTTAAGCCCCATTGTCGCTTTTAACTTTTGACTATTTATGATGAAATTGGATGTACAATTTCATCATAATTGAAACATTATCGTATTGAAGTTTTTGCAAATTTTCCACATTTGAATTTTCCGTTTACCCAGGTAACTTTACCGTATACACTTATCTACATATATCCTCAATGAAATACATACATATCTACTTGTTTATATACTCCTTTAGTTTCAGGTTCACACAATGACGTGTATCGTGGACCTCACCAATGAATGTTTGCTGTAAGTAAAGTAATATTTAAAACTTTCTAAATGTATTTTTAACTCTTTAAATAGTCAAATTGTAGGATACCTCGATCTCAAGGACCAATTGAATCTAAAGCAGGCCACTGACAGCGCAACCCGTCTATCTTCTATGGTTGCATATGCGTGGAGACTCCAGAAAAAGTTCCATGTTTACAAAGAGTTTGAAAAACGGCACGATCTACTTGAGGACTTTTTGAAATGCATTTGTTCATCGGTTACCGGACTGATACTGAATCAACTGCCCAAGGAACAATTCGATTTATGGGGCAATAACGTATTTCCCAACATGCGGGAATTGGAATATAGGGGCGATATTCTTAAACGGTGGGATGATGACCAGGACTGCGAGCTTTTGGTGAACGCCTTTCCCAGGTTGGAATCTGTTTCCCTGAGCGGTAATAACTTTGGCAAGCATATCAGTCGGTGGGAAAACCTTCGGAGATTGGACTTGTCACGAAATGGTAAATTAAAATTGCAATTCTTAAAAGAAATCTGTAAAAAACTTCGTCTCCAATCTCTAAAATTGTCAATTTACTATACTGCGGGTAATAATGATGCCTACGTCCAACCCATCTCTACTTTAAACGATCTGGAGGAATTAGAAATAACCTTGGATTACCTGAGCCAAGAAAAGATAGCCCAACTTTTGATGTTACCAAAATTGAGAAAATTTTGTATTAATAATTTGGATAATCCTTATTTTTGGTCGGTAATTCATAGAGTTCGTGGTGAGGACGTGTTGGCAGTCACACTCTACGATGACGATTGGAGAAGCAGTTCGGAGACACTTAAAATGTTTCCCAATCTCCGCTCACTAACCATCATCGATGACAATTACTTTGATCATTCGGAACTAAGAAAATTCAATAACGTTTGGCCAGAGATCGAGGGAATGTGGAAAGTAATCGCGGCCTGCCACCAGCTAGCCGATATAAAATTGTCAGAGTTAGCCCTCAAAGAGGAACTCTTGGCTTTCAATATGGATACAATAAAACGCATTTTAGATGCACGAAAGACTCCACTGGTCGTGCATATGGGCCAAACCGGGTTTTTTGGAAAGACCGACTATATATCCTTATCGGAAAAGGTGACAATTTTGAAAACGTATACATACTTCAATTACATATTTAATTTTAATTTCTTTCTAGATCGAACACCCAAAGTTAAAGCTACATTTTCATCCTTGGAATTATAAATCAATCGAATCTGCAGAAGGTTATATTGTGGAACTGGTGCCCCTAGCCTCAAAAAAAATCATCCGTTTAAATAATAAATGATTTTAATCAAATTTTTGGAAAGGAGAAAAATGTTACTTCTATAAAATACAAAAATTATAATAATTATAATTAACATGAATTGTTTCATTTAGCCAATACACACTGTTTTAGTTGAAACTATTTACAAGTTTCGGAAAATTCGGCGTATTATTAACTTCCACCGACTGGCCACATTATTACAGCGCTTTTTGTTTGTTTACCGTTTTGCTTATCACGGCCCTATTTTGTGGCTGTTTAAACCCTAGGCCGAGCTGAAACTGGGCCTGTCCCGGTCACTCGCAAAAAGAACAATGAGCAATGAGCACTGGATGCGGGACCTGGCGCCGGAGCTGCGGGATCTGTCCATCATCAACCTGGCTATTCCCGGTATGTATGAGGTCATCTCAGTGATGGAATTAATTAATGCGACGCATATCTAGTATAGGCTCCCATAATTCCATGACATATGGCATTAGCGGCAAGTCGAAGATTGCTCCGGATGCGGAGCCAGCTATTCGGCGATGGCATCGTTTCTTTCCGTGCATAGTGCGACGTTGGTGCAAGACCCAGGCCTGCGGAGTACTGGAACAGCTTCAGGCGGGCGTGCGTTACTTTGACCTCAGAATAGCCCAGGAGGATGGAAAGTTCTACTATTGCCACGGAGTGTTTGCCATGGAAGTGTTTGAACCGCTGCTAGAGCTCAGGCAGTTTCTGGAAACCCACCCCGAGGAGGTGGTCATCCTGGACCTGCAGCACTTTTACGCTCTAACTGTGGCTCATCACCAGCAACTGCACAAGGAGCTGATCCAGTTTTTCGGACAGCTTCTATACTCCACTGTGGATGGACCGCTCAATGATTGCTCCCTAAACCGATGTCTCCAGCTGCGACGCCAGGTGGTGATTATCTATCGTCGGTGTCCCATTCCCCTGCCCCTGCGCTTTTGGCCCAGCTTTGCGTGGCCCACGCCCTGGCCAAATAAAGCGAGCGTTAAGAAACTGCAATCCTTCCTCGAGGATTCTCTTCTATCCCGGCAGCCACATCAGGGATATGTCTCCCAGTGCCTTATCACACCAACAGGACGCTATATAGCCTTTCGATTCTTCCTTACCCTCAAATCGACCGCCAAAAAAGTGGATAAGAAGCTGGAACCCTGGATAGTGGAGCAAGTGCCAGGACCGTTTGAGGTGAAGGAAACGCCCCGCGTAAATGTTTTTCTTGCCGATTTCGTAAACCTTAAGGACGGACAATTCTGTAATTTGGTGCTGGAGCTGAACAGCAAGATACAGATACAAATGTCGAAGGATAAGGAACTAGAAAAATCCTCTTGATGTTATTGAAGGGCAATAGAAACTACCTGGTTATGATATTAGTTTGGCAGCTTTGTTATATTACTTTTATAAATATTATTAGGATAATGCATAGTCCCCTTTTTATACTCTATTTTTATATATTAACCCAAAAACATCGGACAACAACTATTTCCACTTGGTGCTATTAATATTGTATTTTCACAAACCAATATAAAAATATACATATATTTAAAAACATAAAAAAACAAACATAAGCACATTGCAGCATCAAATATAGTCCAAGGTTCGAACTAATTGTTGTCAGTCGATAAGAAAGCGCACAGCCTTCTGTGTTTTTGAAGGGGAGGTGGCACCGGCAGCCGCCTCCGCCCGAGCCAGAGAACTGCGCATGCCATGGAGCACGCTGTCCAGCCGGGAAAGAGCCTCCTGCAGGCTAATGGCCAGAACACCGCTATCCTGCAAGTTCTCCCGTTCCGCCAGCGCACTTTCACAGTGACGCTGCAGTCGCTGGGAAGCGCGCTGCATCATCTGGAGCTCCTGCTGGACTAGGTTGTTGAAATTGGTGCTAGAGCCGGGAGTCTCTTCAGGATCATAGGTCAGCAGCCGCTTCGTGTATTGCACCAGCTTGCTGCTGGGAGAGGGACTGACCGGTGTCTTGCTCGATGGCGTCGAAGTCTGCCTCGGTGTATTGCTGCTGCTGGTGGTGGATACGTTTAGGAGCCTTTTCAGGGGCTTGTTGAGAAGAACCTCCTTCATGGCGCTCAGGTTCAACGCGATTCGACTAGAGTTGTGGGTCTCACTCAGTGTCTCGTTTAGATCTGCATCCAGGGGTTCCCAATCAACTTCAACGCTTTGGAAAATTGTCCTGGCATTGAGCTTCTCCTGCTGCTCGGCACTATCCCTGACCATGTCTAACCAAACGCCTAGACGGGCAGTTGGCCACTCGGCCTTCAGACCTTGCTGCTTGTCCACAATCAGGATCACCGTGCGCAACAGCCCAAACTCGTCGGGCGTCTGGGTTTGGCGGAACTCCAACTGCAGACCTAGCTGGCGACAGCGTTGGGTGGCCTCCTTGACCATCAGTTGGGTCTTGTGGAGGCTCTCCTCCGATGGATTCAGCATAATGCGCTGAATGTCCTCCAGAAGAGTGGACTTTTGGGCTGGCGTCGATGCCTCGGCAGCCTCTTTTAGCGGAGTCTGGTGCTCCTGCTGTGCCAAGGCCAAGGCCTGGCGCTCCGTTTCGAGCATTTCGCTGTTGCACTTGTACTTGAACTGCTCTAGTTCGAGGCACTGCAGCCTTTCCTCAAAATCTTTAGCATGCTGGGCTCGCTCCTGCTCGATGCGTGTCAATGCAGCCCTCTTCTCCGCTTCGAGTTCGGATCGCAGCTGCTGCTCCTGCTTCTGCAGAACCTCCTGGTGGGCCAACTGGAAGTCCACCAGCTGATCGGCCTTCCCCCGTTGCGTGCAAAACGGATTGGAGATCCGGAAGTAGTGGGAGCCGCCTATGACTAGCCGGTCGCCGTGGAACAACTGGCGTCGGTCCTGAAGAAGTTCACCGTTCACATAGGTCTCGAAGTCCTCACTGCCGGGGATAACGTAAAGTTTTCCACCACGCTCGTGCTCGATGCTGCAGTGCTGCAGAGCCACTAGTGGACCATCCAGCACAATGTCTGGTTGGGAACTCGAGCTTCCGGGCAAACGTCCCCGACCGATCCGCACGAGCCCCGGCGGCAGGAGGTAGAACAGAGTACCGCTCAGTATGGGATCCGCCGTGAGATTAACCAGACAAGCCTGCTTCTGTTCCGAAGTCAACTCCAAAGCTAATCCCCGCCGTTTTAATAGACGCATCTCGGACTTGCGTTGATCCTCCGCCTCTTTGAGCTTCTCCATCCAGGATTTTTGGGCCCTGCTCAGCTCCCGCTCCCTCTCGGCCAGCTGCTGACGCAGTCCCTCCACCTCCGTTTCATCCACAGACGTCTCAATGATAATCTTCCGCGGCACTGGGTTATTGTTGTTGCCGGAGAGACGGCGTTGCCTCTCGTACTCGTTCCTCAATGACTTCAAGCGATCCACTTCGGCGCGCAGGTCCCGGATGATCTTGTCGTGGGGGGACTCATTCACCTTTACCCGGTTGACGATGGACCGAGCCTTGCAGGCATACCGGAGCGTGGCCAGGGTCTCGTCCGCATGGAGGCTGGCCGGGGAGATGGTGGCCAGCATTACCGTCTTGGAGTTTCCACCCAAATTTTCCTGAAATGAAAAGACAAAAGCATTCGTATTAGGGGGGTATGTATATTATTGGAATTGAACCAAATTCAACTTTGAAGCCATTGTTGTTTAAATCAACTATATAATCATTCTTTTATTTAATCGGTAATTATTGAACTTCCATAATGGAATTGTTATTGAAAACGCTTCATTTAAATTCCAACTGATAATAAAGTGACATGATCTATGGCTCATAATCCACAATATATGATTTAACTTTAAAAATAACGCAAAATTATGAGTAATCAAACCAAATTAAGAATTTAGTTAAATTAAAAAAAATATTAATCCCTATTTCCAATGACCTTAGAGATAAGACATCAATAATTAGCCCCCAATATTGAAAACTAAAACTTATCTTATTATAAAGATTTATATCAGGTGATATACCCTTCTATTTGTGGGGTATTTTGATAAGAAAGGTAAACAATAAGCTCAGGGCAACTGTAAGCAATCAAAGCACTCCCGTTCTCAAGGAACCAAACCTTTGAGTACGTTCTCGATTGTGGGCATCAAGAGTGATAAGGACTGCCCTGATAACAGTGATGATCATTAGCGGGCATACCAGTGCATTATTATAAGTATGTGTGGGCATCTACGAGAGGAAGACTAGCTTTAAGTTGTTGTGCACTCACTAATATACGTACTAAATATTTAGCACACATACTTTTAACAGTACACGTATGGGTAAAGACACTTGTTTGATTTAGCAGGTCAGCACAGTGGGCCGAGGAGGAGAGCGACCGGCGAGAGGATTTTTACCGAACTGCGCAGCAGCAGCGGTGTGGGCGTAACTAATTGGGACTGCACAGTGGGCCACATCGCTAGGTTTTCGGATGGGGCCTCATTACACGATTTTCGGAGGGGGCCCGTCCTCAGGCTGGTCTGTAAGAGTCCGAAACTGGGTCCATTAACCGCAAAATCAATCAATGAATATTGGGAATCGCGGTTAGTCATTCCGAGGGGTACCAAATCGTACCATATAACCACATTTTTTTGGCTAAATATAACTTTGGGGCCGCCCACCTTTAGAAATTTGTCACGACCGTCCAGTAATAATGAAAACTCGTGTATACCAAACTTAAACCACAAAAACATGCTAATCAGAGCGGTTCGTACGATGCAGAGAAACAATTAAAGCCTTGATCAGAACCGGCTAAAGTGACGTAGACCACATATTAACACTAGGTTTACGCAAATTCACAAAAATGCATGAAAACTTTTAACCTCTGGTAAACTGAACAACATTTAAGATGAATTTTGAGACAATTTCAGCACTCCAAGGGGTCTACTAATCTATAAAATACACTCTAGTATTACCAAAGACAATGTCTCTTTTAAAATCCGGTTAAAAATTCACTTGGTAACAAAATTTCTTTGGATAAATGAGGCTAAAACGGCACATGGACGACCTGCAGTCTAGACTGTGATTAGCAAACCTTATAAAGGTATACCTCCAGATGAACACCCGGTGACCAAACACGAAATCACTCTCTAGACAACTGTCTTTCGGGAGGTTTTTGGATGTTAGCAATTCGTCGCTAATAAGAAAAACTTCCAACAGTATTTTTCATGCCCTCAGATAATTAACACTTATTAAAGAATTCCCATTAAACAATGACTGAATCACTGGGAAAATGGGTGCTTGTAAAAGCGTGCAAAGTAAATGGGATGAGTCCCACTGTCCCTCATGTGAGAGCTGTAACAGGGAGATAGTGCGGGCACTCGAGGGGCTGTGGTGGGGGGTTTGGGGGTAGGGCTTATACAAAAGCACGAGACGCGAAAACACAACAAAAAACAATGCCATACAATTGTGTATATATACAAACATATAAACATATTTATTTGTTTACAGATAACGTTAGTGGAATAGTACCAAAGATTAAAATAAAACTAGAATATGTTTAAAATATTAAACCAACAACACTAGTAAGAGTTGTAAGTAAAACTCAATTATTTATTTAATTATAGTAGGACATCTATAGACTTTAATTCTTGCCCTCAGGTGTGTCCACACACTCACACGTTGGCATATATAGAGAAAAGTAAATATGGGGGGGGAAAACAAAAACAACTTTACGCACGAGAGCCGAAGTAGAAAAACAAGTGCCGAGGCAACCGAGTCGTCCCGAAGGCAGCTACAAAAATGCTGTAATTCTAACACTCGGCTTTCAGTTTCATACGAGACTTGCCACAGAGAACAACATCGAATTGCGGTGAAATCTCGAGGAAAACCCTTGCACTCAGAGTTCAATGCAACACCCAGAGAGATACCTTGAATATCGGTATTTACGCGTAAACCCAAAAAATACAAAAAGTGAATAAACAAGCGACATTCAACAAAGAAACCCAAAGAGACACACTCCAAAAGTGACACAAACAGAGTTCATTGGACGGCCGAGAGAGTGGAGAGACAAAGTGAAACGACCTCCCCCAACGCGCGCAAAAAAGAGCGAAAAAAAGCCAAAACAAACACCCACTGCATCATCCAGTACTGCAGTGCTCCTTATAATCCCAAAAGAGAGAGAGAGAGAGAGACAATAGCCACAGACATGGATGTTTGGGGATTCTGTGTCAGCGACTCCACAATGGCATATGGCGGATCCATGCGGAATGGCTACTACCGCGACTACGAGCAGTTCCCGTACGGGACTCTCGAGTCCACCACCTCGCCCTATGCGGTCAAGGACTGCTACAGCCGTGTCCAAGGTAATTATCTCCCGAAAAAAGACTCCAGTCGCATCCACTTGAGTGACATAGCCGACAGCTTTTAGTCAGTCACTCGCCATAATGCATTGGCTTTTAAGAAAAAACATGTTTGGCATTATGGGTGTGTGAGTGAACCCCCCCCCTGCTCCACCACCCAGTTGTAAATTGCGTGTATTGTTGTTGTTTTTGAAAGAATTTATAAATAGCCAGCCTGATTTCGCGTATTTTTTTGCAAGCATACATACATATAAACATATGTATGTATATATGGTTGTGTATGGGGCGAACACGCCTTATTTTTTTGCGCACAAACACAGGGTGTCTTGGCTCTTGGAGCGCACTTCCCCTTATCAGCCCACTTCCCTGCTCTGTTTACGTTTTTAGCCCAAAAACAATGTGGCTTAAACCCACGTGCCTTTCCCCCAAAACATGTCTTCCCGGTCAGCTCTACTCACACGTAGACAGAGTCTCAGGTTCCGGCATTTCAAAGCTATAAGTTGAAGCGCAATTAAGATATCGTAAGCCGTGAAAAATCGTAAAAAAAAAAAAAGAAACTTAAATCTTTTATTGTATGATTGTATGATTGGGCCAGGTGGTCCGCAAGGTGGTTAAACTCTTAAAGGGGCTGCCTAATGGAGGTCAGTCAAAAGAGCTAAATGCTAATTAAAAAGGCAAAGAATGATCTGAGTCAACCAGGTGTTTAAACAATGGCTCGTTGTTTATTGTATTTTTTTAGGGAAGACGAACCAAAATAGCACCGAAACTAAGTCGCAATTTGAAGTTTCAGGTGCACGTTTATCAGTCTGCCCCCAAAAACAAAACGCATATATGACTAATTACTGCAATATCACAGAGAGATATACATTCGTAGAGATTATGCAAGGTCGCTTATCAAAGATACTATATATAGATCGGCTGGGCTTTAATCAATAGAACCGTTTAGCATTTAACACGCTAAATTGAGCAATCAACAGAGGCAGAACCACTGTCACAGGGTCACCATGTCGGGTAGTATGTAGTTGTACCTGACAGATGCGAGGAGGAGGCGGGGCAGGCAGTGACGACGTGACGTCGAGCGCGTAGCTACGTCACGACCTTAAAATCAGCTGAGCGGGTCGGAGGCAGCTGGGCACACGCACGTAGGCCAGAAAGGGCCGGGAAGTAAGCGCCCTTCTAGAAATAGCCCACGTATCAACGGCTTCTAAAATACTATTAGGTTATGTAACCTGCCCTGACCTTTGCTAACCTTTAAAATTTCCACTTTATTCACTTCCAGAAAAGTGCAAGCAAATAAAGTCCGAGAAGCAGATGCGCAAGGACTGTCCCTTCTGCAAGGAGCACAAGAAGCGGCCGCTTATCAACTACATGCGCAAGAGGGAGCAGCGCAAGCACCATGACAGCATCTGCGAGGACGAGGAGGAGATGCACGAGCACGAGCACAACCACTCCCACACCCATGAGGTGGTCCAGCAGCCAGCCCCAGCGCTGTCCTCCGTCCTTGCCAACCAACAGAGCTGCAAGGTGTAACTTGGAATGGACTTCCGCGAAAAAAATCAGCAATTCTTAAATGCCATATAAATTAAAAAAAAAAAAAAGAAAGAAAAGAGAAAGAAAAAAGCTGACACAAAGACGGCGACAAGCAATTGAGAGAGCGAGACAACAACTGCAGCTACAATAATCCAACGCGACTGTACCTTTTTTGAACGGTCACCGAAGCATTTCCGCATCGCGAATACACTACCATTTACAAAATCCCAAACCTGTTGGATACCAATTTACAAACAGCCCCTTTACACCTCTATAACCTCTATAGCCACAATATCTTCCATATATATCTTTTTTTTGTATACAATTCAATAGTACACAGTGAGAAAAACCTGCCCGCTTGACCAACGCATTTTTTGACCTTAAAAAAATACTAATAATTATACAAAAAAAATAACAAGGGAAGCAAAAATAGCAGAAAACTACATTTTCTATTTTGCATACGAGACTGAGTAAATTGCAGTAGAAAAAAAGCTAAAGCCTAAGCTAAATTTTTGTTTTCGACATAATTGGATGAGTTACAGGAATATATAATCGAAGAAAATATATCTTATATATTAATGAACAAAATAACAAGAAAAGAAAATGCTTCATTGGCGATCAAGGTTTAGAATTATTATTTTTTTCGATATATGTGTAGCTACGTATACTTTGGACCCCGATTTTTATTGTATCCTTGTCTATATTAGACATTCCTTTATATTTATTGTAATACTACCAACTGAGCACAGTTCGAGCAAATGTCAAAAAAAAAAATCTAAAAAAATTGTTAAATGAGAAAGTTGAAAAGTTTCTAAAGTTTATGCCAAGTTACAATTTTTCATACTTTTATATTTACAAAAAAAATAAAATAAGCCTCAACTGTGCAAATAAAAAAAAAATATATTAAAAAAAAAATGCATTGTATTAGTTAAGAAATTGATTAAAAAAAAATTGATTGATTTGTGAAAAATTTGCTTGCAGGTACCGAGAAAATTTTCAATTTATACAATGTTATATATCATATATATTATATTATAAAGTTTAATTTAAATTATATATTGAAAAACAATAAAATTACCAAAATTTAATAGAAATGTTTTTTTTAATTTATGGGCGAAATAATAAGATTTCTCTAAATATTTACATTGAGGTGGGTCAGTTTCTTTAAAAAACAGCCCAAAACTGGTTTAGTTTTTTTCCAAAAAATTCCTTTGATTTGTGTGCGGAAATCTTTTCGTCTCACACCAGTTTGCTAATTAAAGTTAATAAGGCTTTTACCGATCAAATTAAGAAAAAATTCCTAAAAAATAATATTTAACAAAAATATTATGGATAAGGTCAGTTTTTGGCTGATGAGATACTATTGTGACCTATAAAGTGACTCCTTGAATACCCATTCAGCTGTCTGGAGACCCTGACCATGTGAAAGTAGAGGGCTTCCTAGAAACATAACCTTACTTACAATTGTTTGAGATTTAAATTTCAAAAATTGGATGGATGAGATCAGCTCAGTTCAGCTTTGCTTTTGATTATTAAATTGCTGAAAGCTTTGACCGCACTTCAAGATTGCTTGCATATTTAAATGACTCTTTTTCCTGGGGCCTCGACCGGGTGATCAAATTGTGAATTGCCACAGCACGCCATATCTATACTGGATATACATATGGGTATAAGTATGGGTAGCAGTACCCCCAGTACTTATTTACCCAATGAGGGAAGCCATAAATGCAATTCTGTTTATACAATGAATTCTATTCATTTTAAATTCAATGTTAACCAGTTTGTTCAGGGATTGGAACCTAGCCGTGGGGGTGAAAGGGTGAAATTATTATTATACGCTGGATTAAATTACAATTGTTGTTGTTGTTATGTGAGAACTGGAACCAAACTAGCACGTTCTATTATATGATTATCTAAAGCGAACGTGAATATAGTTTAAAATTTGGTTTCTATAAACCTAAAATTGGGCTATAATACGTTGAAATATTTGTTGTTATTTAACTAGCGAGAGACCCGCCTCCAGAGATATATATGTATGATTATCTTTTGTTCAATTAGTTTATAAAAAATCTGTCAAATGCTTTTCAGTCACAATAATGGATTTCGATAGTATCTTTTGTTGTGTATCATATTGTTTTTTATAGTTAATTAGTGTTAATTTAGAAACTAAATATGAAAAAGCACGCTTTTTATAAAAAACTTTAATATAAAGTTATCCAAATTGGCCTTTTTTAAATTTTTTTTAGAAGATCTTTCATATATCCACCTATAGTAGACACTTCTAGAACTGTATATGTAGTCTCCAAAGAGAGTCTCCTAATCTAAATTATTTTTGCGGTCTACCAAAGTGAGTACGAAAGACATTTGATTATAAATGCGGTTTCTAAGGCTTAAAAAAAAGAGCTAATGAAAATATTCATTCAAAGTTTACTTAGAAAGTCAGTTTGCATTCAACATTTCAGTTTTAAAATTATTCCAGCCATGTGAAGGTTACAAGAAGCACAAAAAAAATTATTAAAATTTCGTTAAAAATTTTACAAAAAAAAGATATATCTTATAAACTTATAAAAATGTTAAAGCGCCTACTAAGCAAGTTGAGAACACCCTCAGAGGGAAAGTCAACAGGTGAATAAATGATACACAAAATAAGTAAACAAATTAGGTTAATTTTACTAAATGAACAACATTAAATGGAATTTTTATAATAACCTGATATAAGTACAGTGTTTTTAGAGCTAATTTCAAAGCTCAAGTGTAGTCTATATTCATGCTGTTAACCCAAAGCAATTATATGGGACCTCTTAACCACCAATTACAGTCTAGAGTCTATACCCCATTATAAGCCATTTTGGCAAAGGTTGATATCTACATAAAACTATAATATTTGTTTTAATTGTAGTTATATTCCTGACAATAAAATTCCCAACAGTTTGTTGCATAAACATTCAAGACAACATTTTACATCATTATAAAGATTATATAGAATCTGAACCCTTCATAAAGCTTCCTAATATATCTATCAAACTTTTATTGCAGGTCTTAAGGATGGCAAAAAGTTGGGCAAGGGTAATTGCAAATGCGAGCCAGTGGCCTGTAAATGTGGCAAAAGGCGGCAACAGCAACAAATGAAACTTTTGTTGTCGCAACTTCACAGCCGCGATAAGCTATCAAGTGTTATATTATTCTAGTATACAAATAAAACACAACAAAAAGTATATTATCTACAAAGTATTTTTAAATCGGAGAGAGAAAATGTATGTAGCACTTGAGTTTATTATGCAAAGATAGGAAAAGTACTTGGCCAGCAAGATAGCCAGTCTTAGGAACTGTGGAAAATTAAAAATACCATCAAAGATGGACTTGTCGGACAAGGTCGATGATCCAACTTGGTTGCCCAACCATATTTGGCTTTAACTTGAAAAGGTCCCTCAAGGGGCTAACAATACGACGCCACTTAGGCAAATATTTGTCTTAATTTTTAATAACAAAGCCCGTAAATTAGACTGAAACATGTGCGATGTTCTCTAGGGCCTGGAACTACCGCAACTTCAATTAAAGTGGTGGGACAGCAAATAACCCTCGAGGGAACTGGTTTGGTTTACTCGGAAAATAGACAAGTGGGTGGACTTTGTAATCCCCTCAATCTAGAGTCGAGCCTTTCAAACGACGCACTTTAATTACTCACCAGGATGGGTAATAAATTACGTCGTAAAATGTGAAGTACTCCTTTTTTTAGAGCAGAGATTTTATATAAAGTTGAAATGGCCAAAGATAGGATAAGATTTTGAAAGGTTAGTTATTAATCAATAAGCCCTACTTGTTAATTAATACCATCCACTTCTCTAGGGGCTTTTCCGTGATGTAATTTCAAGGCATTCCTTGTGACCTCACAAGGTGTTTAATATTTAATCATATGGATTAGCTATTTACTACAATGACTTAAGTAATATATGCGATTTTCAAGCAAATACAAAAATTAACCCGACATGAATCATGTTTTGTAACGATTCTTTAAATATAACAGCCATTGAAAAAGAAAATATTTACTACAATGCCTCATGACTATTTTAATATTTAAGTGATAACAGGTTTTGTAAAGAAAATATTGTGCGATAAACATATTTAAATGATATAAATAGATATGAAAAGGCTTTCCTTTGTTATCTGTTAAAAATAAATAAGAAGTCATATTTTTCCTCAACAATAAAGAGAAAGATATCCTCCTACTCACTTTTCTTAAAATAATTCCCCAGACTACACGTGCCTCTTTGTATCAGGTCATAAATTTTATAAGAAAATAAAAAAAATTTAATTGTAAAAAGATATGATAAGGAATGAAGGAGCGGCCTTAATCACTCAATTGCTTGAGACACGGGGAGGTCTTTGATTCACCCTAAATGCCCAGATAAAAAGCTTAGATATAAAAAATTGATAGGAAATATGTCTCCTAACTTTATGCATAAATAGAATGCCTTTGGAAGGTATGTATTATTGTCCCCCAACGACTTGAAAGGCATAATCTAATCAGCAACACACTCCTTCCCCATTTTCTAGCTTTAGTAACGGGGTATATAAAATAAATTAAATTAGTATACTTTGTGATTGGAAAAGCAAACATATATTTGTCACACGACCTAATCCCCAAAGCACCCATGAAGGTGTAGCACGAGATCACGAGATCGAATCGGCGAAAACAATGGACCTGGAAACAAAGCATCACGAGATTGTCTGAAATAATATTTGCTCAGCGATGTTTGGCCAAAGGGGAACAGTTTGGAAACTTTTGGGTGCATTTCCGCAGAGGTCGAAGTGGGTGCATTCCCTCCACAGTTCTCGGTTCTGATTGCTTTCCGAGTAATCAGTGATTGTGGGGAAACCTCATTCCATGGGCCATTGGCTAATCGAAACGACTTTACTGATATGCGGTCAGTGGTGATGGTAGAATTGTGAAAACTATCGTCTAAAATAATTAATTTAAAATTAGATTTAAATTTAAAATCCTATTTAAAAAAGACTCTTAGTTACCTTTAGTTATCTGCTAGTTTCTAAAAATATAATAACTAATTTATTGATTAGTTTCGCAATTTTAATAACCGAAAGTAAACCAGTACAGTGACCTACTTGATAAGATTTCTACGGATTTGGTAACACTCACCCTCAATAGCCAGGTTAGGACACTCTCTCGGTAGGGTACAAAGGTGCTGGGGGTTCCAGATCCCAACGGGCCACTAGCCTTGCGGGCGTCTGCCAGGGCGGCAATCACCTTGCCCAGGGTGAGAAGGCTCTTGTTGATGCTGACACCCTCCCGGATACGCTCCCCGTTCGAACCAGAGACACTGATCCGCTCGCTTCCTGCCAGATCCACTAAGCTGATTTTGCTGCGTCGTGTTTGCCGTAAGGAGGATACTGTGGTGGAATCCGTATCAGAAGACAGTCCATCATCGCTGGTTAGGTCGGTTAGGTTCAAAACAATATTGAAGATGGAGTGCGAGCGCGAGCTCTTGTCGTTCATGGCAGTGGAGGCTGTGGCCCGTTGGGAGTTTCCCACGGCCAGCCAGTTGCGGAGCGCCGAGTACGAGTCCACGGAGTGGGCACTTAGATCCACCACATAGGGCCCAAAGATGGGATGCTCCCGAACCTTTAGAGCTGGCCGCTGCTGTTGCTGCACGGGCGTGGACTCCGTGGTACCGGCAGCTGCATGTTGGACACTCAAGAGGTCGTGGATTTTTTCGTTGTATATTTCAAAGTAGCTGACCTCAACCTCCACCTGCAACTGCTGCTGAGCCTTGACGGCCTCAATCCTCCGAAACAGCTCGTGGCAAAAGCGCGGAATAATGCCTGCCTCGTCGTGTGGAGGTCCACCGTCCAGGGCTGCGTCATCTAGAGCCTCGATGCCCATCATGCTGTAGGATTTTCCGGAGCCAGTCTGCCCGTAGGCGAACAGGCAAGCGTTGTAGCCCTCGAAGGCTGTGTCGATTAGCGGACGTGCAGTTCCATCGAATACTTTGGCCTGGCAGGCAAAGTTTCTGCTCTCGGGGTCGCAGGAGTAGTAAACCTGATCATAGCTGAAGAAGTGAGTCACACCGGCCGATGCGTCGGCGCTGCTGCCGGCCTGAACAGTGAGCTCATTGCTGTTGCTATTCACCTGGACGACGTTGGTTACCTGGCCACGGGTGCACTCCAAGGCATTCAGCGGGCGCACGCGCACCGCCACAATCATGTTGCTCTCCTCGGATACGCTGTGAAACGACTCCATGAGTGCAGTGTCCTTGGACTTGGCACTCGGAGTCTTAGACCGGATGGGAGTGTTTGTGTTTGTAGTTCTGTAAAGTGACGAGGGTGTATAGCAGGCATTCAAGGCGGTGGGCCTCTGCTTAGGCAGCAGATTAGGTGTGGAGCCTGTAAAGGCCGTGTTCAGGAGATGATCCGAGCGGTGCTCTACGCTTTGCCGCGGCGTCCGCGTCAGCACCTTTTTCCTGAGTCCTTTAGCGTCTGACGCCGGCGTCGACTTTCCGCGGGTCTGGAACTGCTGAATGCGCTGACGCACTGGCGTGCTCTTGTTGCTCATCTTTTAATAAATTCTCTTTGATCTTTTTTATAATAAAATTCAGTTGTTTTGAAAATTGTTTCGAATTATTGCGCGGCGTCGTTTGTTGATAAATTTTCGTTGCTAGTGACGTGTCCAGTTCGATAACAAAACAGGGTTGTTTGGCAATTAACATGTGGAAAAGATAAGCAAGTCTGGTAGCGCTGTCAATATCGATGAATTTCTATCGAAATATACTTTTGGCGGTAATATTTTCAAATTATCAGAAATATTTTTAAAAGAAGTTATTTTAAGATATATTAGCTCAGCTAAAATTTTATTCATTTTATTTAGCACATGCTTATAAATCATTTACATTGCAACTTTAGGAAAATATTTCTTAAAGCTTTTTAAATTTCTGATCGTACTTCAGATTGAAAAACTACAGATTCACACTCTTTTTATGGAGAACTGTTTATGGGGATTTATAAAAATAAGAAGGTAAACTAAATTTAAATATTTTAAGTAATCACAGTTGGACACTGGTCCAGTTACTGATAATAAACTGTGAAACTTGTTCATCTCTAACCGATAACCGATACTAATATTGGCAGCTGTTCAAGAGCTACGTAGTCAAAAGTAAATATTATTGAAAGCACTATTTCATGCATACAGGTAAAACTTATTATTTTTAAAACACAAACCATGGCTAAATAAATGTTCTTTCTTTTCAATATAGAGCGCATACACCGAGACGAATTACATTATTTCAGAGCGATTAAAGGGTTTTAATCAGCTAAGTTAGAGGAAATCCGACTCGCTCATCACAACTAGTTCCGACCAGATTGATATCTCTGCCGCCACCTGCAAAGCATTTGTTGCTAACAATTTCCTTGTTCTCGCTTTGGGCTTCTATATAAATACGCGCGGATCAAAAGCAGGTTTTGCATTCATTGCAAAACAGTGCTCAGGCGTGCAGTTAACTCCCCCTAACTAAATCCATCGTCCAGGTGCTTTTCCAGCCAGAACAAATTTAAAGATTGTATTTAACAAGATGTCTCAACAACCTGTTGCCTTCCTCACCCGTCGCGAAACATTCAGCGCCTGCCATCGCCTGCATAGGTATCAATCGAATAGAATTCAATTGCTTTATTCAATTGGCTTTTTTATAGTTCAATTTGCGTTGACATTTCTATTTAATTTTCAGCCCCCAACTAAGTGATGCCGAGAACCTGGAAGTCTTTGGGAAATGCAACAACTTTCACGGCCATGGACACAATTATACAGGTAAACATTTCTCGAGAAAACTTAACCAATGGCGAAGGTTATAGTCCTTCGATCAAAGATCTGTAGAACGCATTCCATTAGAAAGTAGAATGGCTTTAACTGAACAGAAAGGCAATAACAATAATACACATTTTTTGCATCTTTTCCTGAGCTTATTGTGTTGAAAACACCTGAAACAATAATACTTTATAACACCAGAAAAAACAGAAAACACAAATCCATCATTTAAATGCATGATTAGTTGCAAAACGGCATCAGTGTCATGTAACCAGATTCGTTGAAGTCCAACTCAGAGCAATTGGTAATGTGAGACTGGAAAATGCTTAACCATAACCATAACAAAACCTTGGCCGACAAGCTCGCTTATCAAAACCATATTCAAGTTCAACGCTCATAGGTAATAAAAACCGAGAATTGATAATGAACATGTAGAGATCAAAGGGATCATAGTCAATAACATACATAAGTGGAAAATATTTTGGCGACATATGGGGTTCTACTAACAACGCAATTTGTTGTCGCATATGTAGGGTTAGGATTAAGTAGAGGTCAGTTATTAATTTTAATAATTTTTATTGTTTTAGTTGAGATTACTGTTCGAGGACCAATTGATCAGCGCACTGGAATGGTGCTGAACATCACCGAACTTAAGGATGCTATTGAAACGGTGATCATGAAGCGTTTGGATCACAAAAATCTCGACAAGGATGTGGAGTACTTTTCAAAGACTGTACGTACCCAGTTACAAACTGGATACTTACTTACCTTACTCACCAAATACATTTTATTTTCGCAGCCAAGTACCACTGAAAATCTGGCTGTATACATCTGGGATAATATCCGGTTGCAGCTGAAGAAACCTGAGCTGCTCTATGAAGTGAAAATCCATGAGACACCAAAGAACATTATTTCCTATCGTGGTCCGTATTCCTTGAACGGGATCTACAATCCCATCAACAAACGCATAACCCACGATTCGTGTACCAACATATCCTCGGACTCGGATTAGAATGGATTAGCATTGAAACCCCTGTGAATTGACGAATTTTAATGGACCAACACCCCCATCCCCACACCCACTCACACTCACACGATTAGAAAAAGACATATTTAGTTACCTGGTAAGGGAATGAAAAGATATACAAATTACAAAGTATATAGATGTAAGACCTACTGTATGTTTCTGGAACATAATACTGAATAAATATATAATAAAATGAAGCAAACAAAGGGGATCGCTTTTCAAAACAATATTATTTATTGTGGTATAACTAAATAGAATATTTTTAAACTCAGTACATGTATTGTTTTAATTATTATATTATTGTATTGTTCTTAAAAGTAACGCTCTATATGGCAGCTATACACTTCTTGGGTGCTACAGATTGGCGTCTGTGTTGAGCAGCAAGCTAATTAACCGCTAAGGATTGTATATATTTAATTTGGGCACTCCAATACTCCTCCAATACTAATTTATATCACGCTGTGTATGTCTATGTTTTTTGGAAATAACACTCCACAGAAAGAACTGGGATCAGTTCTTTCGGTGCTTGTAGTCATAGTCCTGCATGTACAGGCTGCAGTAGACGAGCCAATCTTTCGAATCTGTGGGATCAGCAAGGTAGCGATAAGATATCGTACTAAACTTTGAGCAAAGATCTACTTTGGTTAGTTCATCTAGGGTTAGTTTACATTAGTGGTTGGTTAGTGGCCCGGGCCAGAGTTAGTAAGTGTGTTAGGTCGTGAAGATAACAGAGAACATTAACCTCGAAACAACTTAACATTCAGGTACCGACAACTCATTAAAAACTAAACTAGTTGCCATTAATTAGTTTTCTTATTTTTTTGGGGAAAAGCATAGGAACTTTTTGCTTTGGAAGTCATGGGATGAATTAGTTAATAACTTATCACAGTCTGATGGTATTGCAGATACACATTGAAAACATGTCGAAGACTTTAACTGAACTCATCTGAATGGCTAGGCGGATGGAATTCAAGCTTTGGTATAACTATATTCTTTGGATATGTCTTTTTAAGCTACACTGAGCTACATTCTTTAGTAATGCTCTACGGGTTCTTTGGTTTAGGTCTACATTTTGTAACGAATCTTAAGGCTTTAACAGACTTTTCTCCTCAGATACAACCGCGATCCGAATCCGAATTCATTTGCTAAGTGTATAAATATCTCTATATGGCTAATAAAATGTCTCAACTACTAAATATATCAAAAATGTGCGCTAAAATTACGATTCTCTAACATTATACGCATTTTACTTTTGGTCATGGTCGGTTTCTCTTGTTACTCCACTCTCCTCTCCAGCCGAGCACCTTAGATGGTGTTGCGCAGGGCCTTACCTGGATTTCGGATCGATATGAAGGGTATCCCGAACTCAAACTCGTTTTTCGGCCAGTACTTGAGCAGGGGCTGGCGCTGGGGAAGCTCTGATTCCACATAGAAGTAGGCAAACAGCACCAAGACCGTATAAGCGGCAATGAATATAAAAATGTGCCAGAAGCCGTGCAGGTACGGAAAGTTGATTGAGGACCAGGCCTCGCAGAACACCCTGTCGTTGATCCAGCAGAAGACAGCCACGGCCCAGACGGTGGTGGAGCGGATGCCCAAGCGATAGACTCTCTGGTCGCTAACTCTGTTTTGGATGGAAATGGAGATCGTTAGTTAATAGGTTTGTTTCAAGCCCTTTCTATAAGTCTGTAAATAATAGAATTACCAACCGAAACACTTCCAGCCAGCATTGAAAACTAAATTTAGTGACAACCATGAATTGGATGAGGGAGGTTCTACCTCTAGTTATAGTCTTTTTTCTAAGAGCTAACCTTTGGCTGTCGAATGGAGTTAAAGTCAAGGATACTGCCAGATATTATGTCAACAGTCCTGTTTGTAAGATGCCCTACGTGAATCCCTTTACGGCGGACATCATGAGTCGTTTTCATAAAAGAAAGATGAAAGGCTGCCGAACTGATGCTGATATGGTGACAAGTGAGTTTGACTTCAACACCCACCAGTACCGACTGCACATTCACGAGCACCTGGCTAGACCTTTCCTCAAAACCAAGGGAAACGCCACCCTCGAATGCGAATATTCAGATATATCGCGTAACAATTCAGCCGATGTTCCGGACAATAACTACGTGTGAGTACTGGCTAGTTGTCTAATGAATCTAAGACTTGAGGGCTTTACTAATTAAAGTTAGAAGCTTATTAAAAATAATCACCCTTACCCTGTGTTAGGCAATCCAAAATGCATCGCCTAACCAACCACGTTCTGGTTCCAAAAACCACGGACCATATCATCACCAAGTGCTATGTGAGGAAAGGCCACAGAAGGCGAAAATTAATCCAGTCAGACTCCATGTCCTTTATACAGGACCCTCTGACCAACGATGGAAAGGTGGAGGACTTTGTGAGAAAGCAAAAGGTGGATCCCCAACCCAGTGTCCTAATCATGGGTCTGGATTCCACGTCGAGGATAAATTTTCGACGAACTATGCCCTTGGTCTATGATTTTGTGAAGCAGCTAGGCTGGTTCGAAATGCAGGGCTACACTAAAGTTGGTGACAACACCTATCCCAATCTTATGGCCGTGCTGACAGGGCACTCGAGGTCAGGTATAGAAAAAGTTTGCGATGTGGAGGAGCTGGGCTGCCTGGACTCACTGCCCTTCATCTGGAAGCGTTTCAAACAAGCCAACTACACCACGTTATACGCCGAGGATTGTAAGAAGATCAACACGTTCAACTATCTAATGCCGGGATTTAAGAAGAAGCCAACGGATTACTACCTTCGGCCGCTACTGTTGGCCATCGAGGATCAGTTTCCCATCATCAAGGAGTGGGGATATGCCTACTGCGTGGGCCGGCACCTGAGCTTCAAGTATGTGTATGACTTTGGACAGCAGTTTATCGATCGGTTCTTGGGCCGGTCGCCATTTTTTGGTTTCCTGTGGAGCAATAGCTTCACCCACGATCACTATCAGGGGGCCGCTTCCTTGGACCAACTCTTCCGGCGATACCTAAAGTCCTTTGAGGACGCTGGGCTCTTTAAGCGCTCCATTGTGATCCTGATGAGCGACCATGGTCATCGATACGGTCCCCTGCGCAAGGCGCCTACAGGATATTTGGAGGAGCGTGTACCCATGATGTTCATCTATGTGCCACCATGGTTCCGGAAGAAGTATCCGAAACTGGCGGCCAATCTGCATAAAAATCGCAATCGCTTAACCTCCAACTACGACCTCCATATGACCCTCCACCACATACTTCAGTTGCACAGCAGGTCCATGGCTGAATTTCCGGATAAGTACAAGTCCCAGAAGTGCAAAAGCTGTCAGTCCCTGTTCTTCGAAGTTCCCTTCAACCGCACCTGTGCAATGGCCGGGATCGAGGAGAAGTGGTGCTGCTGCCACCCCTCAGAAACTATCCCCTTCACCCCAAAGGTGGCCCCCATAATAGACGCCATGATCCAGCGGATGAACCGGCATTTGGTGGAGCGAAAGTTCGATCATCTGTGCCACAATTATACTCTGAAGCAGGTAATCAGAATGGACTGGAAACCGGTTCTGGCCACGGGTCTGAGGCCCGCCGATAAGGACGAACATGTCTACATAATCGAGTTCAAAACACTACCTAACACTCCCGAGTTCGAAGCCACTGTCCGCTGGAACAATCGCACCAAGGCACTGCTCAGCATGGACATGGATGACCTCAGTCGTTTGAATTCTTACGAAGAAGATTCCAACTGCATAAATGACAAGATAGCCAAGAAGTATTGTATTTGCAATGATAGCCTAAAAAAATAAACTATGGTTACTAGACCCCTGCCAGAGACATACACATCACTCACTAAAATAGAAACATATATATATCATTTCCAAGATACGTAACCCACATCCGTCAATATCAGTAATTTGTTTAATCCCCGAGGGATTTTTTGGGGGCACTTCCTACCCCAACTTTCATTGAAAGCCCTTGAGTGATGGGAGCCATAAGAGGGCTACTTAGGGCTTATCTAAATGACCCACTACAGACTGAGTAATTCCATTGATATAATTGATTGATAAGCAGAGACTTTCCCCCTCGAATGCTATCTCTAGGGTTTTGGGTTTGAACTTTGACACCGCTCGTCCCACAACTATTAGAACAGAAATAAATAAAATAGAGTAAACAGTGCGATAAGGTTTAAATAATTTCACAAGGCATGCATTTGGAAACACTTGTTCCCAACACCGATAAAAATATAAATGATAAGGTGGATGAGTGATGGTAGATACATGATTTATGGGCTTAGTTCAGTTTGGGGTCACCTGGAGGCGAAATCAGGAGGGCTGGGCATACAGATAGTTTATCAGCAAAACCCCCAAAAATTTATTAAACTCACCTCTGGAGCTCCCTGTAGAGCATTACCATTGTCGGTACACTCATGAACATCAGAACAAAGGCATTAACGATCGGCTTCCACCAAGACAGAAAAGTGGCGGCAATCGCCGATAGGAGCATGAGCCAACTGAAGGTTTTGCTGGAACAAAGGAAACCGAAAGTCGGGGATTTAGATATGGGATGTGGAGACATAGATACCCGATATTCCAATCACACTTACCGATCGTTTTTCACAAACTTGGGATAATAGCGCTTGGGATAGAATAACGAGAAGGCCGCCATGAAGACCCACAGAATGGCCAGTTCATCCAGCAGCTGGCCAATTAGACTCAGAGTGGCATGAAAGTACATGGAACTCAGTCCAACCACGATCAGCAGAACCCAGATCACATGGATGCCGGGGGTAACGAAGCGTCCGTACTCCTTGAAGAGCATAATAAGCACCGGAGGAAGTAGTATAAACAGGAAGTTGCTGAACTGTGGGGCGATAATATCAATAAGGTTAGAAATGAGGCTATATCTATATGCATTTTTAAAATTATAACCCAACCCAGTTAATAATATTTACTTTTTTTACTTTTTCGCGACGTGCTATTTCAGCAGTAACGTAAATTGCTGATCATATTGAATTAAGTGCAATTAATTATTATTTTTTGAGTGCAAACACAGTGAGAAATGGGGCAGTTATCACTTCCATAGGATGATGTTTCTATTCCACTCAAGAAAACGATAAATGGGGCTAGGCAATGGTGATATCTTTCGTATTTGGACTTGGGATAATGAATCCCATTTACATGCAATATTTACTGCCACTTTTATTTCATTATTTTGGATGGAGTGTCAAGAACGGGGTCATTCACTCCACTTGAAAAACTTCCCTCTGTTGAGCAAACCCCCAACTGAAACAAAGCCCGATTGCGTTGTAAACAAATTGCGCTTTTCAGGCCTTCAATTTATTAGTCATGACAATGAAAAAACCAATTAAAACATGCCCATTTGTAGTATTATTAGTGCAAGGAAAGAAAATGTAGAACAAATAGATTGTGGTTTTATGAAAGAAACTAGGAAACTGATAACCTTTCGACTCTCAGATGTTCAACTAATCTTTACTCTATATAATTAAATCAAAGAATTGGAAGAAAATAGTATTCTTTTATTTTATTGAGAGTTTTAAGTTGTATCTGTATATATCATATTGCATTTCATTGAAAGACTGCACCTTGCCTTGCACCTTGCTTCATAGGAAATGTAATACTAGTATCTTTGCACTTTTCTAGTCGATAAGAAATTGCCTTGCTTCAGAGTTCTGCAATGCAAATATAATGAAATATAATAAAATATAATATTTCGCTGAAAGAAGGTTACAACACTCTCTCCCGCTCCCACTTACAATATCTTTTGTTTACACGCCACCGGTCGGTCTCGCTCTAACAGGCAAGCAAAAAAAAAAAAGGTCAAGGCCTTACCCAGTGGGTGTTTGTGTAGGGGGGGAGGAAACAATAATGCAGCTGCCGGCCAGCTACAACTACAACTACAACTACATTTAATAACTAGAGCAGAGTAATGGGAACTAGTCTTGATATTAAAATAAATTGCACATACGCACCGTGTTCACGAACTCTGCTATATTTGATGAAATTAAGTAATTGCCCTCGCACCAATCGACGGGTGAGCTTCCGGGTCTGAGATGCTCCCAGGCCATGGCGTAGATGTCCAGCAGTCCCCCACCCATCCCCACCCCACCCATTTGGCCCGAAACAAAGAGCGATTTTATTTTCCTTTTCAGCAACGAAAGGATTTAAGCACTTTCGTTTGTTTGCTTTGTTGTGGTAGTTCAGGGTAGTTGCAGCGCAGTTGTGTTTGTTTTGCCTGCACTTTGCATAATAGCGCAGTAGTTCTTTGTCAAAGAGGTTTCTGCAAAAACCACTTTCTAGACCAGTTTCGAAGCCTTTTAAACTTAGTTTCTGTTATGTAAGCCACTACCGGTGGTTAGGCACAAGTTCTGTCAAATTTATGGTAATGCGGAGCTACGAAGAAAGTGGAATATTCGAACCGTCCGCAAAGTAACGTCCGACGTGGAAAGCAGGGGAAAACAACAAATATCTTACTTATATATATACATATATATCATCTGTAAACCGTTAGTGCTAGATTTGAAGCAAGAACGATAGTTGGTCACACTACTCGACCAGAAGAGAGATGCCAACTCCTTTTTTTTTATCGATTATTATGCGCCTTTGTGTTTTTAACGGTATTTTAAAATTTAATACTCGTAATATAGTTAATAAAATAAAATCTTGGCTTATCTGTTTATTAATTTACTATTTTCAAAGAGCTAGAACATCTTTTCCCTTTTAAACTGTTGGTCACGGTAGCAGCTAAATAATCAACAGATATCAAATCTTTAATAAGCGAGACGAAACTTTGGCTAGAAGATTTTAGATTTAAAGCACAGTCTAAACTAAGGCATGGCTCCATCAAGGTGGTCATTCTTAGCAATTTTATTGTTATTTTTGAACGGTAAGGTTTCCCTATAAAACATTTTTTTTTTTTTAATAAGTTTGATTTTACTAGAGTGCCACACCATCATTTCCCCAAAGTTTTTTTTACCTGATGATATAAAAGAGCGCCTGGCTAATGCTCTTAAAGCTAAGCCAGTTCTTTTAAATGGAATCCTTTTAACAGTTGATAACTTTGGCGAAACACTAACGTCACTAAGTAAGGTTCCAAAAGGTCTTATCGAAGTCCTGCGACCTATCTTTGCTCCCATTCGGAACGAGACAATGGAGCAGAAAGATTGTGGAATATTAAATTTTTATTGCCAACTTAAAAAAATCATGGATTGGGGTTAAGTTTATTATTTTGAAAATTATAAACGGAATGTATCTAATAAAGAAACTTATTGTAAAATATATTGACAAACTAAAAATCATCATCTATTTACTGTGATGTAGCGTAACACAGGCGTTTCTAATTAAATTGAATATTGTGGGCATGTTAAATTAGAGCAAATTCTTTCTTATATTCTAGTAAAAAATAAAATGTAGAAATAGTGGGACATTTTAGAAAGCGTAATATATTCAGGCCCTTTTTATATAAAAGGGAAAAAAGATTCATGTCTCATGAATATCATGTTTCAGATATCTCCACCAATTTTGAATAAAACGCCTGCCTGTAATCGATTTATCGTTCTTGTAATTGCTCCTCTCTAGCCGGCACGCTGTTTACACTTCCAACTTTTTTTTTCTTTTTGTCTTGACACTTTTGAATATTGAATTAATAATGTTCCCACAGCGCAGTTCCCAGGTTTACCGCACGCCACAAACCCATCAGCCGCCGCCGCCTATGGAACTAGCAGAAAACTATGAGTACCCGAATCTCAATGTGGCTGATCTGAATGCGCGCCTAGAAAATCTTTCTCCTCGCCTGCACGACTGCTGGGACAGTATTGCAATCAATGAAGAAAAACACATCGCCCTGGCCACCAACAGGCGCGAAGGCAGGCACTGGTGGGGCATGTTCTTTGGCTTTGAACGCAGTAAGGTGAACCACATGTCTGTTGCCAATGCGGACTACAAGCTTCAAGCTGAGCACACGGTTAACATTTTGCGGTACGCCGAGAACAATGTCTTGCTGGTCGCCCTTGGGGACACACGCCTCCAGGCTTGGTCCACTTACTCAAGAGTTCGCAACCCAAAGCAGCCATACTGCCTCTTCCTGGTGGGCGAGGCCTCTGTCCATCCATCTCCCATTAGCCAACTAAGTGTCTTCAAAGCCAATCAACAAAGAGCTGTCTCTGCGTCTTCGGATGGAACTCTGAATGTAAGAATTTAACAAATGTCCCCTAGATTTGATACTACACTTGTTTTTGCCAAACTAGGTCTGGGATCTATCTTCTGCTGATCTGAGTAGCTGCTTCCACACGCGTAGCTCCCACCTAGATAAGCTAACTGGACTGATGACGCCCTCTGCCTCGGCCGAACAATTTGTAACCTGTGATCGCGGCGGTTGTGTCCGTCTCTGGGACATTCGGTCAGCAGCTCCGTCGTCATCGTGCCTCTTTGATGATGACTCGCATCTTTTAAGCTTCACTTGCGGCGCCTGGGCAGCTTCAACGGAGCTTCAGGGTGACAACAACGTTTACCTCGGCGACTTTGACGGTAAAGTTCACACTGTGGATATTCGCGTTCCACGGAAACTGGCGGAAACTTGTGAATATTTTGACAACGGACACGTCTCGCAGCTACTTATAAACGGGTATGGTTTTAGTTTGAATATCCGTGCATATTTCATTAAAATACTCTTCGTCCTAGGCCCCATTTGGCTGCTATGAGCAATCTTCCTGCCGCCGTAAAAGTAAGCAATGTGACTTCGGGCCACAAGGTCATTTATAACCACAAGGACACCCATTCCCGTCTTACGGATGCCATTTGGACAGATGAAAAGACGCTTCTAACCATCGGACATGGACGGAAACTAGTAACCCATTCTTTAAAATAATTACCCTCATGCCTTAAGATTTAATTTGACGATGTAAAATATGGTTTGTTACAATTAACGATTTGCCTGACTGAGGTGTTATATTCTTTTAAAAATGTAACACCATTTTTTTTTTGTATAATTCTACATAGACGATTATCAGGATGACTTACCGAAATAGGTATATCTACTTAATATACAATACAAACAAGTCAAACTATTATTTTCTCAAGTATTTTATTAAGAGGCAACATCACTGCAGTACAAATATCAGAAACATCTATACAATATTGTTATATTACTCCCAAAATTAAATACAATTCAATTTCAAATTAATGCTTTACTTCAAAAAGCTCAGTGGTTTTGCTGAAAAGTCAAATTGAATTCTTACATACAAACATAAGTTTAGTTACTAAACAATTAACGGCAACGTATCGTGATAATTGGAATGAAATCCATCCTTAAAATATGGTAATGAAAACAAGCCATCGAATGGTTAAATGCAGTTCACCCGGAGGGTGCTGGCGCGAGTGAAAAAACTACACTAAAAACACGTAAAAATATAAACAACCGCAAAAAAATACTTTGTAACAGTCGAGTGGGTGGTTGCAGAAAAATATTTCCACTTAATTTTTCCAGAAAATTAAAATTTTTTCGCGCAACCTTCCTTAGCGTCGCGACCTCTTCGTGGGAGGCTCTAGGAAATTGTTCTCGTCCTCGTCTTCGATCTCCATACCCTCTAGTTTCATAAGTCTCTTGGCATTCTGCAGCATTTGCCCATCCCGTAGCCAGTTGCACTGCAATACATCATCGATTGAGGGTCGCCGCTCGGGATCCACAATGAGCATTTGATTGATCAGCAGCTTGGCTCGCTGCGAGACACCCTTCCAGGCCGGATGTCTGTAGGCGAACTTTCCCTTCTTGATTTGATCGGCTGCCGAGGTGCCGTATTCATCCGAAAACGGCAGAGTTCCACTCAGACTGTCAGGGGGGAGTCTCAATGAAATATAGTTTATAAAAATGATATGCCACTCTCTTACCAAGTAAAGAGCACCACTCCCAAGCTCCAAATGTCTACTTTCCGGGTGTAAGCCTCTCGACCACCAGTTATGAGAACCTCGGGGGCCACATAAAGCGGGGTACCGCAAAGGGTACGCATCACCGAGTCCTTCTGCACGAATTTGCTCAGCCCGAAATCGGAGACCTTTAACAAGGTCTCTTCGTCGTTCGTCTCGAGCAGGACGTTGTCTGGCTTCAAGTCGCGGTGAGTGATGCCTAAAAATTAAAGACTCATAGAGATTTATCTTTATAGCTATAAAGTATACCTTACCCCTGTCGTGAAGGTACTTTACTGCATGGCACATTTGATAAAAATAAAGCTTGGATGTGTCCTCATTCAACAACTTCTTACTAATAATGCGATTCAGCAAATCCCCTCCTCGCATAAATTCCAGCACCATATACACGGAGTCCGGCTTGTCGACTATGTCGTGCATGCGAACCACGCACGGATGTGACAGATTCTTCATGATTTTCGCCTCATTTAGAACCCGTTCGGGATCACTGAAGTTAGTGCTGGGCCGCGCACCAGAGAGCATGTTCTTCTTCACTATTTTCATGGCAAATTGCTGGCAAGTACGTGTGTCATACACCAGGCGCACCAATCCATACGCCCCTGATCCCAGCTTGCGATTGACATAATACGTTTTGGTAATCTCCTCCGGTAGTCCGATCGCCTCGTTCGGGCTCAGGTCTTTGAACACAAAGGCTATACAAGGGGGCAGGTGCAGGATATCGAATTAAGTGCAAATCTCTTCCTTCTATACCTGCTTGAGGAACACTTACCCTTGTAGGTGGGGTGGGAAAGGGAAATAACGTCGTCATTTTTCAATATTCGCATTTTGTTTATTCCAATTTTTTCATTGTTCACAAATGTCCCATTGCGTGAGAGATCCTGGAAAACGTAGATGAACAAAGGTTATGCAAAGCTACACAAACAGGTGTGACCTATATTATGCATTTCTAGGAAATGTTTGAATTCAAAGGAGAATCTATTTTAAAGTTAAGTATATATACCTTAATATAAACTGGATTTGTTAATTCACAATTGGCTCGCTTTATGACAAAATGAACTTTGGAAATGCGTGTTAATATTTTCTCTGGCAGGTCGTTGAGGGTCAGGATCAGATCATTCGCCTCTCCACGTCCTGCCGAAAATTCGTCATTATTAAGATCTGAAACGGATGTCCATGTTGGATTAGATTGGGAAACAAAATAACGAATAAAACAAACAAACATGAAATTTTATGTTACCAACAGAAAAGGACGATTGCGTATAAACTATGCGGTATTTGGAACTCGTACCCAGGGACTTGATTTTGATGTTCTTGCCATATAAGCGCCCCCAGACGATCTTCTCCATGGGCTGGCTCTCCACTTGGGTCCAGATATTGGATGCTTGGCTCTGGGTGCCCTGGGTTCCTTGGGTGTCGCGTGCCATGATGCGCCTATTACCGAGATTCACCGCTTCTTTCAATCCTAACAGTTTCAGCGGAAACTGCGCAAAATGGGAATGTCCAGTTATTCGGGTACCAACACACACGCAGGCGCTATCTTTGTGAGGCGGAAGACAACTTTGTCAGAGTTCCCCCGATCTTAATTCGGTCAAGTAATGGTCTCCTGGGCTGTAGAAGTTCACATCGAGGTGGTGGCGCAACGCAGTCTAACAAACTGACAAGGTTTCTCATACGAAAACAACGAAAAGTAACAACAAACACGACACTTATATGAACTGCGATCTGTGATTGTTTTTGGCTAAGTGTGAGTTTGCCGCCTAATGGGAAGACAGTGTTGCCAAATGCCTACTGTTATCGATACGCGACAAAATATCGGGTTTTAAAAATTGTAAGTCTATTTCTTAAGAATTATTCAGAAATCTATTAGGTTTTTACGAACTTGTCATGTTTATCTTTATCTGTCTATCTGTATTTAAAATTTAGTAATTTGTTAATAAAACAGTTAAAAATGGCGACGATAAAATGATTTTCGACGTTCGAAAGTAAGGAATTTAATCGGAATGAGTAGTGTTCTGTATTTAATTTAAAAGAAATTTAAATTAATTTGAAGGTTAATAGTTTAAAACATAAAATTTAAATTTTAATAGATAGCATACTTTTTTTGAAAAAGATGCAAAGATGTATTCTAATTTGAATATCAACGGTTTTTGGATTTGACCAACCCTGGTTGTTGACCCAGTTTTCCAACACTGTGGATGGCGTCGTTTGAATAAAACTGTAAACTATTACCCACACAAACAAGAGGAAATATTCGCCACAAAAAAAACGCACAAAACGTAATTAGAAAAATAAAAACTATAAACGACTATCTCCAGGTGAGAATTGTTAGGAGACTCCTTTGACGAACTCCAAAAGCGGCAACTGTTTAAGCTGCCAGTGTTGTCAAGAAGCCCGCGCATCCGTCACCAGCGTCCCCGTGGTTATCCATCTTTTAGTTACCCAGGAGTAGCAATGACTCTACCACGATCTGAGACTCCCCTGCGCCGCTCGGCGGTGGGGAGCTACCGCGAGGGCATGACCAGCAACACGACAGTGGTTAACGACGACGAGGCGGAGCGCCAGGAAGCCCGGCGTCGCACCTTAATGCAGCCGCGTAAAAGCACTCTGGAGTCCATCGAGGACAACGAGGCTATTCGCAGCTGTCTGGAGATCTACAATGGCAACAAGCTGAGCAAGGACAATGCCTGGAGCGTGTCCCTAATCGATTCGCTGGCCAATCTCCTAGATCACCACCACAAGCGGATGAGCAACTTCAAGGTGGGTGCTACATTTTATACTATACTGATTGGAAACCTGACATATTTCCTCATATTACGTTTCTTCCTTTAGATGGCCGGCTCTTCGTTGGAGGCTTCATCCAAAGTATATGGCCTGCGTGTGGACTCCATCTACCTGGACGCAATGCGTATTTCAGCCGGCCTAAGTGCCCGCACGCTCACAGACAAGCAGATAAATGCGGCGGAGAATGACGATGGAACAGAACCTTCTCAGGCAGGCGGTGAGGGTGATGATTCATCTGCCGCCGCCAGTCAGAAAGGTGCTGCACCCAAGCCCAAAAGACAGAAGAAGAACGTGTCGACTGTAACCAAGAACAAGGAGACCCTGAACGCTCGTCTGGACACGACACCTCTGCAGGATCCAGTGTTTGGTCAGCTGAACTCCACAGTGGGCTCCATCAATGCTTCAAATCGTTTAATGCACAACATTTTGCCCAGTCGGGACTCGGAGCTGCTGTTGCGCACTAACTATAAGTTTTGGGACAGTGAAGAGGTATCTGAAGATATCGAGGACTACACGACGTTATCGGCGGACAAGGAGCAGCGGTCAGCAGAATCGCTTGTCAGTGCCGACTGGCTTCGGAAGCTGCTGCCTCAGGTAGACAAATGGAATCTCCGACCCATGCATACTGGGTACATCATCACAAGCGCCCCAAATCCAAAGCCATCAGACGAAAAGCCCAAGGAACCCGAGCCGGAGGCGGCTCCAGAAGAAGAGGATGATGGAATCGACAATGCTGATGATATGTGTGCGAATATCAACGAGATTTCAATGGCCTTTGATGTCGAAGCTGACGTAGCTCCGCTGCCAGACTTGGATGCAGCTCCACCACAGGTTTTGGAAGTAGGAGGAGATGACCTGCAGGAGCTTACTATAGAGGAACAGATGGTGATCCACAATTGTAGGAGGCTGCGTAAGCAGGCCACTGTCATTGACGATCTGCGTCCCGTTGATGGATCATCCAAGCTAGAATACTCGTACCGGCCGATGGAACAGATCTCCCAGTTCTGGGCAGGACCCTCGCATTGGAAATTTAAAAGAAATCGGGCGCGCAGTACATTATTTCAAGCCAATGGTCAAACGGACACCCAGGTGGGTTCCACTCAGAAAAAGTCGTCAAAGAAGTCGGCGCAGCAAGCCGCCAAGCGTAAAAATAAGATGATAGCTTACGATAATGTAACACAGGACTTCTTCCAACCGCTGGACGCCAGCGTTAAACAGCGGAAGGTCAATTTCCAAAAGAAGTGGGATTCTCGAAAGCTGAGTTTGCCCACAAAGTTCATCTTCGATTCGGACTACTTCTTCAAATACGATTCGGCGCCTAGTATAAAGTTGACTCGACGCGCTGGGGAGCCGGATTCTGATGATGCTGACGATCTTGGCCTGGACATGGATGTGGGCTCTGATCACGGGGATGTCGAGAACGACCTGGACCTCTTGGGTAATGAACACTTCACTGCAGCCGTTCCCGCCAATGTAAGCATTATGCTTCCGGAGGGTGCGGAAGGAGTTGATGGCCTGGATCTGGACGCCAGAGAGGCAACCATTGGTCTGACCAACGTGTCCATGAGGGACCCATGCAATAATACAGTTCTCGAAATTGGAACCGAGTTTGAGGGTGCTCCATCTCAGGTAAGTTAAGATTCATTAACATTTTTTGAAGATGACTAACAGTTCCATTTTCCTATTAGGTTACCAAAGTGATTGTTCCCTTCGCCAAGCGTGCTAAAGTGATAGATATGAAAAATCTCAAAAAGAGCTGCAACTCTCTGATTCAGAAGCAAATGTTGAACGTTGTGCCCGAGGAGACGATACCCTCGCACCCGAGGCCGAAAAAGGAGCAGTACTCGAAGGGCGTTGCTAGTTTCCAGAATGTTTACTGCAAACTACCGACCCTGCTGACCACAAAAATGTCAGATTCACTCTCCACGTCGGTGGCGTTCTATGCGGTCCTGCACTTGGCAAACGATATGAAGCTGCGGCTTATTCCTCAGCCAGATTTGGAAGATTTTCAAATCCGACAGGTCTTGGATTAGGTTTATTTTTTTTTATACGATTTTCTTATTAAGTGGCTCTTGCATGTGTTGAATTCTCAATGTCACATTACCTTAATTTCAAAATCACCAAAAACCCTTAATGTATATCAGTATTTTCACAATATGCAACCCAACCCATGTATGACAATTTCAGTAAGCTGACTCTGATTTATTATTTTTATGATCAAATAATCAATTCTAATAACAATCATACCTTAAGACTAGCTATTAAGTACTAATAAAGATGTGGTTTTAATCCAAACTACACTATAACTTTCTTTTTAATCCAATTTTCAACAAATCCCAGAGATTAAGCTATCTGGCAGAAAAGCTCCAGTAGGAAAACACAAATTGTTTGTTTTTGTGAAAATATTATTCATGTATTTAAATGGCTAGACTTTAAACTGATTTATGTTTTCTTTTGTTTTATAAACTATGCACATGTGTGCCGTTGCGGAATTTTTTCAGTTGAAAGAATTAAAACTTTGGCATTAGTTTCGGCTGTGTTTATGTTCTGCTGGCGGCGCAGACAAAAACGGAAGCAGTTGTTAACATTGTTTGCCGTGGCTGTTGCTCTTTCATTTGCATACTCGTATCACTGAGGCGAAACGGGAAGGATATGGCAAGGCGTTTCACTGGCGTTTTTAGTCGCAGCTTTCTTCGGCTTTCGGCCGCCGCCTGAAGAGGTTTTCTCCATGCTCATCTGTGTGGGGGTGACACATTTGTTTTGCATGTGTTTGTGTTTGTTGGAAAAGTTCGGTGTTTACAGAGCGCTTTTAGGCGGCGTCGCTTGATGTGTGTGTGTGTGTAATTGCATATTATTTGCATAAATATTTGCCAAGTACTAAGTAACGCTGGGCGTCATACTGATTACACTCTGTACACAAAAAACCAACAACACCAACTCAGATCACTTTAAGGGGTATTCCATAAAAGTTTTGGCATTAGAAAATGTCACAAAAAACAAAAGTTTAAAAGTTAAATATGTTTTAAAATTTAGAAAGAAAATAAAAAGCTTGAAACGTTACGGGTAAATAGATCATCGGGTTAATATTCCTTTCCGTAGAATTGTTTATTTTCCTAAGCTGATTATAAATTATTTTAATTTAAAAAACAGGGAATTGCACTTTCCCTTGGATTGTGATTGCTGTGAAAGTCTTATCAGATTCCAGATTCTAGGAAACTGCCCATATTTGGATGATCGACAACCCCAGAGGTGAAAGTTGATTCTTATTGATTTAGCGATAGGAACCGACCAACCACAGGTATAAAACCCCGACGTTGGCCGTTTAAGTTCATCAGTTTGAATCCTTAGTCTGAAAAGTCGAATCGTTACCAAAAAAATTCAAAAATGTTCCTAGCCAAGTTTATCCTACTGTTATGGGCAGTCTTAGTTATGGGCAACCCTGAGCCACTTGGAGGTTTTACCAAATTGGAGGGGAAGGCTCTGATAGATGCCCAGCAGTTATTGAATACCGCTCTGGCTAAAATGGCTTCCGGAGATGGACCTCATTACCAGTAAGCCCACATGTGTTATTCAAATATATTTCAAGTTTGTAAAAATTATTCCTTCTTAGCCTCTTGCGGGTCGTGGAAGCCTACTCTCAGGTGGTTGCTGGCACCTCCTACAAATTCACCGCCGTGCTGATCGACGAAAGAGACGTTCAGAAGATATGCGAAGTGGACGTCTTGAATCGCATCTTTAACCTACCAATGGAGGTCACTGTCAGGTGCCCCAATGAGGCCGAACTGACCAAGCAGCAAAGTGCCTAAAGATAAAAAATGAAAGTGTATACAATTCTAAAAAATTGAATAAAAAATGTAAAAAAAAATAACAATGTGTAAATATATTTTTAAAATAAACTAATTTTCTTTAAATATACTTAACATTTTTTTGGCTTACAGGAAAATAGATCAAAGGGTTAATGTCGCTTTCCGGTTTATTGTTTATTTTGCAAGGCTGATAAGAAAACATTTCAAATAATAGAAACCGCAAGTCGTACTTAACATTGTAATTGTTGTGTGGCTGCGGGGGTCTTATCACTATAGCTTTCAGATTCTAGTCCAGCAAGCGGCTAATATTTGGATGCTCACCAACACCAAGAGAGGCAAGTTCAGTGTCAATAATTTAGCGATAGGAATGGACAAGCCGAGGGTATAAAACACCGCTTTCTGACCGTTTCAGTTCATCAGTTTGAATTCAATAGTCCGGAAAGTTTAATCGTTTCCAAAAAATATACAAAAATGTTTTTTGCCAAGATTCTGCTGCTGTGTTCTGCCTGCGTCCTGGTTTTGGGAAAGCCTCAAGGATTTGGACTCGTTGGAGGTGTCAAACAATTGGAAGGCCAGGAGCTGATAGATGCCCAAAAGGAGTTGAACAGCTCTCTGGTTAAACTTGACGCCGGAGATGGACCTCACTACCGGTAAGCCTAGTTGTGTAGTTCAAATAAATTTTCTTATAATATCCTTGTCACGTATTCTCAGTAAATGAGATGATAATTATATTAACAAATTCTAATAAATCTCTAAAAAATTATTTTTCTTTAGCATCGTGAAGGTTCTGGATGCTTCCTCCCAGGTGGTTGCTGGCACCGCCTACAAATTCACCGTGGAGTTGATCGACGAAAATGACGTCAAGAAGGAGTGCAAAGTGGATATCTGGAATCGTTCCTGGTTACCAAATGGCATCCAGGTTACCTTCAAGTGCCCCAATGAGCCCGAACTGATCAAGAAACACAGTGCCTAAAGACCTGAAAAATGAAATGTATAAAATTTTCAAACTATTTCATTAAAAATCTTCAACGACGAAAAACTTTAAAGTATATAAAATTTAGTTAATAACCTAGTTTTTTTCAATTCGGCTTGCAATGTTTCCTGTTTACAGAAAATTGATGGATGTTTCCTGCAGCTGATTGACGATGATGGTCTACGAAACCGAAGTAGTCAAGAACCACAGTGCCTAAAGTCCAAAAAACTTAAATAAATAAAATATTTCATAATTATAATTATACGCTTTGAAAATGTAATGGTTATATTTTTTAAACAAAAGGCATACAATTGGTGGCTCAAATTTGATAAGATTATTTGACTATAATTTGATTATTCATATATTTTTTGGACCCAACATTGCTACCTATCGCTAAATAAAATAAATAACAAATAATGGGCGTCATAAGGCTAGGGCCTTTGGGGTTTTAAGATCACATAATTAGTGAGCCAGTGATGATAAGACTCTCGATTCGCCTCTGATTAAGAGGCGTTTCCAAACCTAAATAAAAAAAACAATTTTTTTTTTTTAGGGTGTATTTTAATACGAATCTGTTACATTATGATGTAGTTAACCCTTACTGCCTACATCCACCAGAATATTTTTTTGTAAAGTGCATTTTCGTGTTGAATTTTCAATGTTGCATGCAATTAACCAAAATAATATGCTTCATATGCGGAGCAGAATAATTTCAGCTTACCCACACAAAATTCCCCTACATTAGGAGTTGAAAAGTTAATTATGAAAACAAACATCAACAAAGGGGCGAATGGCGAATGGCAAATGGCGGGATGGTGCTAAAGTTAATGGCTGTCATTGCACAGGTGAAGTTCTGGGCCCCAACAGGTAGGAGGTAGAATAACCTTGCCTCAGCGCTCTGGCTCTGTCTCCTGCCTGCCTGTTTGTCTTTGGCCATAATAATTCCGGAGCACAATCCCAGCTGCTTTTCTCATCAGGGTTTTTGTGTCTTGTTTGGTTTCGGTTTAATTTTCTCACATTTGTTGCTTAATTCTAATGTGGGCAGCAGTTAGCAGGCGCCACGGGTGTCCAACTTGATAATTGTTGGCACTTTTCAGGGAAATATCCGGGATAAGTTCACAATCCAGTGTAAGCGATTTCAAAAACTTTGGCAGGAGCCATAGTTGTCGGGGAAATGGAGAGAAATAAAACTTTTATGACTAGCTGGTTGCACCAAATGCTAATGAAAAATGCAATTAAAACTATATCATCATAACATCCCCATTTCCAAAAAAAAAGGCACAAAGTTATTTTTTACTCCATCTGAGTTTCACCATAAATGTAATATTTATTATATATATATCATATATGTAGCATAGATCGAGTAAAATATGTTCGCTTTCAATTATTCCTGCTGTTTTATTTACATTCATGATATTACATTCATTAAAAGACTTGATATATAATATAGTATATTTTTCGTGGGAAACTGTTTTCTTTTCGCTATTTTCAGTCGAAAATTGCATTCAGCAGGATATGACTTTTAGCACAATTTTATTTCTTTGGTTTCTGGTTATATTTCTTTGGTAAACAATAATTTCAATGATGGTGTAAATTAAATATACAAAAGTGTTCTAACAACATTCAGCTTAATGTTTTGTTCGCCTTGTAATCGGTTTCCTGCTAATAAAATACATACATCAATAAAAGTTAATTAGATAATGTTCATATATTATATGTATATGTAGTACATATAGTATAATAGTTGATATACATATATAATATATTTCTTTTTTGTAGCACACAGAATATAACAAGTGTTACAGTAATACAGCTTCCGGGGGCCTCCAAATGTTTTTTAAACACTTCCATCATAACATTAAATTGAATTTCGCTTCAAATTTTTAAAACAAATTTGTTTTGGTTATTAGAATAATATTTTATAGCTTTCTAGCATTTTTATAACAAATTCTCTCTAAGTTAAGAAGGTTTTATAAATTTTTGTTTTATATACATCGAGGATAAACATTCTTGGGGCAATATAAATTTTGTAAATATTTTTTAATTGAGCATAGAGGCTTGAAGACGGGATGTAATGGGTAGTTAAATAAATTATAATCCATTAAATATTTTTATAAGCTATAACTAAAACATTTATTCAAAATTTCCTTGAAAGAACCGAGTTCTATTTTGTTTATTTACCTTGTCTTACCTGCGCATTGTTAAAGTTAAAGGACAAATGGGACAAATGTATACATGTGTAGGTTTTGGTTTATTCTTCTAGTTGCTCAAAGCCAAAAGATACACAATAATGGTTAATCATGCGTGTGTATATATAAGTTATATGTTTATAAGTATTTATTTCTCAGCCCATGCCTCCCTACCTCTCGCAAAAATGCTTTCAAAAACTGTCTCTGTCTGTAAATGTCTCTTTTTGTATCTTATTTGGCATTGGATATTGACCGTGTAGCTTTCTTAGGATTCCCATCATTGGTTGCCATTCTCTTGGAGCGTCTTGCCTTGGCCGATTTGAAACAATTTAGTTCTGGGTCTTGGGTGCAATCGATGAGGTTTCCTCCTGGGCGTTCTACAATTTCGTTTGTCAGCAATGTCCATTTAAAGTCAAATTTAAACCCACCTTTTGATCGGAGGGTCCTTTGCCAGTGCTCCGGCCCCATCGAAGACGCATCGGCTTGCGGACCTCGCGTTGGAACTCGGATGAGTCTTCCTCCAGATCTACCTCATCTTCATTGGGCCTGGAACTGGGGGATTCGTACTGCTGCAGGGCCATGAAAAGATTGTGAATCTTTTCAGCGAGAATCTAAACAATGGAAGAAGATGACAGAAGGGCGTTTAGTAGGTGTATGATTTCCTCTCTAGGAGAAGTATCCTCCCTACACGTACCTGTTTACGGAAATCATCATGGTCATTATCCTCAAACTGAGGCACACTTCTGCCCCAACGGAGGCGCTGGGGCTTGCGCACCACCCGCTTGTAGAGGTCATCGTAGTCGGCGTCCAGGTCGGAGTCACCACCAGATCCCAACTGCTCCTGCAGCTGCTGCTGTTGGTTGTTCAGGGTCAGTTCCCGCTCGAGGAGATCGTCGTAAGCGGTGCGACGCATCTGAGGCAAGTTGGGATCCCGCCTGCCAAAGCGCAGGCGCAGGGAGGGCGACCGAATTGGCTTTTGGTTGACGTCACCGAACCAACGCTTCTCCACAATGTTATTCAGCATATCCGGATCACTGCGCCCGAAACGCAGACGCAAGGAGGGAGAGCGTTGGGCCTTGCGCTCCACTTGGTGGTTGGGAAAGACCACGGGTCCGGCGTACTCGCGCTGGAGCAGACTATCATATAGATTGTTTAGGGACGCGCCTGCAAAGGAGTCTTTAATGATTTGCTGACCAACTGCCGACTGGTTGGGCTTGTCACCTTGAACGGGGGGCAGCTCAGCGTCGGCTGGCTGCTGCATCTGGAGATACACCAGGCAGATGAGGGCCAAGGCCCAGCCTTGGCTCAGTTGAGGTTTCAAATTAAACATTTCTATTCTGCTGCCTTGTGGTGTTGTCAAGCTGAAAGCCAAAAAGAAAGTCGAGATGAAAAATGAGAAAAATTTGAGAAGCTACAGTGACAACTGTGTGATAAAGTTCATAGTTTTTAATTAAAAATAGTGTTTTACAAGCCTTTTAAATATGTCGATAAGAGTCCGAAGAGTTGCCTCAAATATCCGATACTTTCAAAAAAAATTCAAATGTTTTTGCCATGAAAGCATAAATGAAAGGCTTATGTAATGATATTCGAACACAAAAGTATGTTTAGAGTGCAGAGCATTTACTGAACGAAAATTATTCATGACTGCACCTGAATGGCACTTCATATTCGAGCTCTTTCAATGCAACTTTTTTTTCTCACCCATATTTTTGCAAATTGTTAAAGCCACCGAAAGGTTAGGGAAGTGAAATACACAGCTGCTGCCATCGGCGCCATTAAGTGCAACCTTTTCGAAACAATTTTTATATACGGCGACAAATGATGTCATGGCTAATGGTTCACCTAATGGCCGATGGCAAAGGATTTCCCATTATTAAAAATTAAATTTCTAGTGTTTGCTGAAAAAAATAGAAATCGATAGAAATGATATTTTTTTAACCCACCCCAGACAGGGTGTAGACACTGCAGGCGGAATGGTTGAAACTCTTCAATGCATTTCATATCCTATGCAAAGTATTCAGAGTTCATTGGAATTCATTTCAGACGTCACATGTTCATTTTTAACACGCAGCATAAGGCGAGGCGAAAGGCAATTGAATTATTTATAAGCAAGCGGAATAGCGACAAGGGTTAAAGATCAAATAGAAAGGGGCATGGGGTGGAGGTGGAGGTGGAGCAGGAGGTAGGGCATCTGATGGATGGCTTACCTCAAGGGCGTCACCCAAGGCGAAGTGAGAAATTCGTTGAGTGGAGTCTTATGATGAAGAGTGCCTGAACAATAGCTTGAAATGAGTATGCAACATGAAGCACAGTAGTCGGCATCAGACAACAGGAGGCACTTGCCCCGAAATGGGGTTGAAATTGCAAGTTTTGTGTTCTTGCCGCTGCCTGCTGCAAGCGGAAGTTGAAAGTTAAGCCTTTGCCATCCTTGGGGCGTTAAGTGCTGGCGAAATATTTTGTTAGGATCTGGCTATGGACGACTTGCGATGCAACTCGGCGTATACGTGATAGCCTGCGTATACGTGATGTCAGCGAGTTGAGCCGGAAATTGAAATGTAGTTAAAGCAGAGACACGTTTCACGAAACGATGTCGCCTTGAGGACACTGGCCTCAATTAAATAAATAAATAAATACAATTTAAAATAAATATTTGTGATTTAAAATAATGGAAAACAAGAAAATTATTTTTTGGTAATGTTTTGGGAAAAGACTGAAAAATTTCTCTATACTTTCCAGATAAATTTAAAGAGCGCATTCAAAATCTTTTCAAGTCCTTAGATCAGCTTATAGCCATTTCCTAGCTTCAGGCCTTAATCTATCATAGCTTTTGATTTTTTTAAGGCTCTCTTCCGACCTTAATCGAATTGACTTTCGTTTTCCTCTTGTCAGCCGCTCCACCCCCTTTTGGTCAATGATATCTCGAAAATGTCCAGCCAGAGTGATTTGTTGGCGGAAACGTTGGCCAATTGCCTGGCTGACTCCCAGCACTTGGTATGCAAAATTTTGGTATCTGTCTGGCCAACGCCAGTGGGCGTCCTGGTGATGAAATGTGCCCCGAGACTGCGCGGCATTTGGGACGTTTGTCAAAATTGAAAGTGATTTATCATCGTTCTCCGAGACGCCTTCTTGTTGGCTTTTGACGAATGACGAATGAGTTGTGCGATATTTCCCAGATAATGATGCTATTTATGTGCTACGAATGTGCGTACATTTATTCCTATGCTAGAACAGGCTTTAAAAAACAATGTGTCAACGAATAAATTGTACATGACAAGGAGAATATTTTCAGACTTCTTGGGGGGAGTGGGAATTGGTCGGAGTAATGTGCTTGATTGACACATAATAAGCAATCCCATTAACACATTGTTGAGCATCGAGTGGCCGGCTAAATGCCTCATTGAACAGTTTATCCTTATACACTGTTTAACAAAGAAGCAGAAACCAGAATGGATACGTTTATAAGATAAAGTTTTCTTACCAATGTTCAGACTTGTTTAAGATATGTATAAAATACAAAAAACTTGTAACCTACCTACCCAAAATATATATCTTTGTATTTCTTTTACAGCTAACAGAGAGTCCTTTATTTTGTTGACTAGTGTGATTCCGTCCCCATTTGATTCGGAATCGAAGCGTGAAAAACACATTGACGACGTTTAAATAGCCTTTGGGGGCTAGCCCAACTAATACATTTAAGGCCCCCAAAACCCGCACACACACACACCCGTACAACAGGTTGTTTTTTACCCATGTCGAGACTTTGACGAGGCTCTTTTTCACTCTTTTAGATGTGTGACACACAAATTTTATTTGCCTTTTATTTAACAATTTTTATTTGTGCGAAAAAGGTCATCTGCGGCTGGTCAGTCGGTCCCCATTCGTTCTTCGTCCTTTCACTATTCACCTCCTACCCAAAAAGGGATATCGAGGCTAGGTTTATGAGACCCCAGTCCCTGGCCAGGGCATTAAAACGATTTGACAAACACATTAGATGCCTTGGTCCTGGCCTTGGTAGTGGTCTGATGCTGCTCCGGCGACCCTTTTACCCTGGATGTAATCTTTTGTGTTTTATCAACATATTTGATGAGACTTTGCCTCTGGTTGGATGTTGTTTTTGCTTTCGGCTGACATTTTGTGGGCTTTGTGTTGCCTACTTTGTGGCTTTCGGGCGTTAATCATACGCCCTGTTGTTGCCAAATTTTTTTTATGCTCGTCCAGCAATGTGGTTAGTTTTTTTACAACTCTTAACCATCGTCTAAAAATATTAGCAACTAATGAAATTAAATTGAATAAACTTTGACTGTCCATTTGGTTACCCAGAATACACATTTTTTGTTTATGGTTTATGGCTTATTATTCAATTTTAAAAGTGGAACTTTTTATTTCCCATTTGGTCCAAGCAGTATCTTTTATATTTTCCCAGAAATAGTAATATTTTGAACAAAAACCAATTAAAACGAGTTCGCATCAGATGCTGCTTTTACGGAAGTCTCTCCCACTTCATAGTTTATATTCACACTTCTTTGTGGAAAAGCCATTTTATGGGGGTGTTCATCCAAAAAGCAAAAGCAGAAGAGAAAAAGTCATGTTGATTATCATTTTTTCACATTTTTCTTTTTGTTATTAATGTATGTGGGCATTAGTGTTTCGATAATAAAATGTATATGTATAATTTACGGTATGAACCAAACTTGAGATAAACTTAGGTGAATCCCCTGAAGTAAACAGTTTTCCAGGCATTATCACGTTTTGTCAAGAGAATTTACTTGTTTGTTATGCGTCTGTGCGTAAATATGAAAATGACCTCCAAACTTTGTCAGAAATAAATTTATTTAGTTTGTTTGCTATTGATAAAATTAAAGTAGAGAAAATAATTCAGCATATATTCAGCATACATCCATTGAAGTCCGGATAGGGACGATTTAACAAAAATATTTAAGAAAAAACTAAAAAAAATTGTTTTTCTTTGATGCAGATTTAAAGAAAATCGACGTAGAAACCGTTTAAGGTATTCCGCTTAAGAATCCGATGACTTATGGCAAAGATATGGCCATCGCGGTAGGCCTAATTCTGGATTCAAGCATTTTCCAAATTTTTGAAGGGGGTCGTCCAGAAAATTTGACAAAAAATCGAAAAAATAATTTGTTTCAGATTTATGAGATTATTTTAAGGGGTGTCCAGAAAATTTGACAAAAATCGAAAAAATAATTTGTTTCTAGATTTTGATGTAGATTTGAAGGAAATCTACGTACAAATCGTTTAAGGTGTTCCGCTTAAGAATCCGATGACTTATGACAAAGATATGGCCATCGCGGTAGGCCAAATTCTGGATTCAAGAATTTTCCAAATTTTTGAAGGGGGTCGTCCAGAAAATTTGACAAAAAATCGAAGAAATAATTTGTTTCTAGATTTTGATGCAGATTTAAAGAAAATCGACGTACAAATCGTTTAAGGTATTCCCTTAAGAATCCGAATACAAAATCCATGAAGGCCAAATTGATCAGCATTTTCCAAATTTTTGAAGGGGGTCGTCCAGAAAATTTGACAAAAAATCGAAGAAATAATTTGTTTCTAGATTTTGATGCAGATTTAAAGAAAATCGACGTACAAATCGTTTAAGGTATTCCGCTTAAGAATCCGATGACTTATGGCAAAGATATGGCCATCGCGGTAGGCCAAATTCTGGATTCAAGCATTTTCCAAATTTTTGAAGGGGATCGTCCAGAAAATTTGACAAAAAATCGAAAAAATAATTTGTTTCTAGATTTTGATGCAGATTTAAAGAAAATCGTCGTACAAATCGTTTAAGGTATTCCGCTTAAGAATCCGATGACTTATGCCAAAGATATGGCCATCGCGGTAGGCCAAATTCTGGAATCATGCATTTTCCACATTTTTGAAGGGGATCGTCCAGAAAATTTGACAAAAAATCGAAAAAATAATTTTTTTCTAGATTTTGATGCAGATTTAAAGAAAATCGTCGTACAAATCGTTTAAGGTATTCCGCTTAAGAATCCGATGACTTATGCCAAAGGTATGGCCATCGCGGTAGGCCAAATTCTGAATTCAAGCATTTTCCAAATTTTTGAAGGGAGTCGTCCAGAAAATTTGACAAAAAATCGAAAAAATAATTTGTTTCTAGATTTTGATGCAGATTTAAAGGAAATTTACGTACAAATCGTTTAAGGTATTCCGCTTAAGAATCCGATGACTTATGCCAAATATATGGCCATCGCGGTAGGCCAAATTCTGAATTCAAGCATTTTCCAAATTTTTGAAGGGGGTTGTCCAAAAAATTTGACATAAATTGAAAAAATAATTTGTTTCTAGATTTTGATGCAGATTTAAAGAAAATCGTCGT